GGGAAGAAGGTCTATGGCACAGTCATAGGGCCTGTGTGGTGGTAAGGATAGTGCTTTCTCCTTACTGAAGACCTCCCCTAAGTCATGGTATTCTGGTGGAACTGAGGTTAAATCCGGAGTAGACATAGGTAGTTTGGATTTGCCTGCAAAATGAAATTAGAGTCCATGAAGTTCTGCTCTGCCCCGGAGTCCAGTAGTGCTTGAAGGGGAAGTGACTGGTTATTGTGACACAGGGTTGCGGGTAACAGGAGTCTGGGTTGGTCAGTGGGGATTTTAGAAACCTCGCCCATCAGTACCCCCATTACTGATGAGCGGGCTCTTTTGGACGGACAGGACAATGAATGAGAAAATGGCCACCTTGACCACAGTACAAGCACTCGCCAGCTGGAATTCTCCGTGACCGCTCCTGGACAGACAACTTGGCCCGGCCAATTTGCATAGGAACCTCTGGGGATTGTGGAGCAGGGGGCAGAGCAGGAAAATTACCTGTCTGAATTCGGGCTGGATGTGAGGAGCGAGGCACGAAGGATGTAGTAGGAGGAATTCTCTCTCGTTTCCACTCGCGCAGCCTGTTGTCGATACGAATACAGAGAGATTAATTCCTCGAGAGAGACGGGATCATCAGGGACTGATAGTTCATCCTTTAAAGTGTCACTTAACCCTTGCCAAAATACTCCCTTTAAGGCAGTTTCATTCCACCCTGATTCCTCAGCCAAGATCCGGAACTGAATGGAGTAGTCTGCCACACTCTTGTCTCCCTGGTGGAGATCTAGAAGCCTCTTGGCAGCATTCGCCTCACAATCTGGGTGTGCAAAAACTCTTTTAACGTCCGCAAAAAATTCAGAATAACTGAAACTCTCAATGCCCCTGCCACCCAACATAGTCTCGGCCCAGTCAAGGGCTCTTCCACGTAACAACCCCGTAATAAAGGCTACCTTGGACTGGTCGGTCGAAAATGTCAAAGGCTGGCAGGTGAAAACAGTCATACACTGCAAGAGAAAGCCTTTACTTTTACCCAGGTCCCCATTGTATGGCTCTGGAAAAGAGGAACTGGAGTTTCACGGGGAGGGTGTACAGCGGAGGCACCAGCAGAGGCACCGGCAGAGGCAGCAGCAGGGGCAGCAGCAGAAGTGGGATTAGTGGGTGAGAGAAATGCTGGGCAGAGAGTTGATTAGAAAGGTGCTCCACCAACCTGGTCAAATTTGAGACTTGGAGTCCGATATTTAGATTTGATTCTCTCAGATCCTGTAGTGATTTGTGGTGCTGGCCAAGTAAATTTCCTTGGGTGGCAACGATCTTTTCCAACTCGTTGGGTTCTGCTGGGTCCATTGTTTGGCCAGATCGTTCTGTTAAAGAATCACTGGTCGGACCCAAATATGCAGAGGGAAAAAAAAGTATTTTATTTACAAAAATAGTCTTGGCGGGGGGATAGATTCCAGGGGAGGCAGGATGGGTCCGGGTTGGCTGCAGATGGGAGGTCTGTGGAGATGGAGGCTGACCGGAGGCTTACAGAAACTGGTGGTAACGGGATGTGGCTGGCTCCAAAACGGAAGAACTGGGAAATGGATAAAAGAAAACAGGTAAGAGTCAAAAATCTTCAAAAATGCTCAAAAATACAAAAAGCCTGAGTTGTTCACCACTTGGTTGATGGAACAATCTGGCACTGGAGAGCAGGTCAGCAGGTCTTTTATTGCAGGAGATGATTACTTGACGAGGATCAGGAGTGGAGCTCAGCAGGTGAGTGATTGGGGTCCGCCCAGGAAAAACCAAATAGGGTAAGGAGAGAAGGAGCAGGGAAGGGAGGGGCAGGAGGGGGCAGGATGAAACCCTCACACGCATATGCACACACACACGCATATGCACACACGCACATGCACGCATATGCACACATGTAAACACATGCACACACACAAACACATGCATATGCACACACGCAAACACACACACATGCATATGCACACACGTACGTACACGCACACACACACACACACACACATATGCACACACGCACCCCCACATATGCACACACACACGCACACACACAGACATACACACACACATAAGGTCCACACTGTCACCAACCCCTGTCACCTTTGTTCTTATTTGTATGTAATCTTCGATTGTAATGTCTGTCTTGTATCTTGTATGTTGTTTGGTTCCTATTTGTTGTAATATATGTAGTTTGGAAATAAAATTATTTTAAAAAATAAATAAATTTGGCCCAGGCTTTGGGCATGGATTACTGGGATACGGTTGTTCATGCCGGGGGCGACTGAGAGGACGAAGCTGCACAACATCCTCTCGCATTCGCCCATGTGCTCATCGTTGCCCATGCGTATGTTGTAGCGAACCTGTTGGGGCTCGAGCCTAATAATATGTAAGAAACTGAGGAAAAACAACAGCCCTCGCCAGTTACTTCGTTACGGGCTCGGGCCAATAACAATAATAAACAACATGAGACTTCTTGGGCCAACTACCACCAGTAAATAGTCTTGATATTTGGAAGATGATTTTTTTTTTTATATCAGCACAGATATTCCAGTACCAGTACCAGATCAGTGCATCTCTAATTGAAGATTGCTCAGATATGCACGAAACACTCCAAATACATCTTGGAGAGTTTAAATAGTGAGGGAAAAGAACTGGCTGAAACATGATTAAATATGGCTGAATTTTATGATTTTGCATAATAGGTCTGCTTTATAAATATAACTTGATGACATCACAAGGTGGAACAGTATATTATGAGCTTTGGAAATGTACACAACCCAATAATGCAGGATTGCTCAAACATGTGTGAATGAAACAAAACACCACTCCACGTCTGTTTTTGAGCAAGTAACAGCGTTTTAACATAAAAGCTCACATGAGTCAATTTTGTGTAAATATAGGACCTTTAATGTCCTAATCTAAATGTGTTTTAGCTAGGGTTGGCACAGTTCACAAAATTCATGGTTTGGTTTGGATTGCAGTTTAAGGTCGTGGTTTTCAGTTCGATACAGTTCTTGTTGTAATTTTTTCTTTTTAATCTTTAATCTCCAGAAATATACTTTATCATATGCTATGTTAGCTTAATTATCCATAATTTAGGACAGAGCTTTTAAAAAGTTATAAAATTATAGTTAGTAATGTAATCATGCACAAACTGAATTTGACTTGACTTTAAGCACATTATTATTGGACATAGGCAGCTGTTGTGCTTCGCTGAAAAAATGTTACCACCTCCCTAACCCTCCTCAGGAGTCGGGATACTTGGTTTAGTGAGATTGCGCGCTTTGCTGCAAGGTTAAGTGTCCAAAAGTTGCAGTTTTTATGCTCGCATAGAGCGAAATACGCGTCAGGGCCTGGTTCCACTGCACGCGTGTTTCGCTCTATGCGAGTGAAAAACTGCAGAGTCTGGAAACATAACTTTTGGAATGCATGGGAAGTGAATGAGGGCAACTCCACTGAGCGCGCTAGACGCTCATATGGAGCAACATGTGTGCGTAGATTTCAGAAAATAGGATCCATCCTGTTTTTTGACGCTCTGCACGAGCATAGGCGCATATCCCCATCAAAATACACAGAAACTTTGGTTGTATTTGTGCGTTTACCATCAGCACAACATGCACTAGGGGCAGATCTGTGTTGTGTGAAAGAGCCCGGGTCCAGAAAGACTGTTAATAAGTGCTTTAAAATTTACTTTTGAAATCCTTGTGTTTGCTGTGGTCAGCCTGTACAGAAGGTAAATACAAGAGTGTTCAGCTTTCACTGTGGACCTGATACAAGCGGCTAAACGCGCCCCGTCAAGTTTGATTGACTTTCCCATTGACAAACACAGAGTCAGTGCTGCGTGTGTACGTCCTGCTGCAGCTGCCGGTGGAGCCACCTTTGCGTTGACGCACGGCTGTGGTTTCGCAAGGTTAGGCGTGTGCAGTGGAGCCGGGCCTTAACAGCTGAACACACTTGTATTTACCTTCTGTACAGACAAACCACAGCAAACGCCAGGATTTCAAAAGTAAATTTTTAAAGCACTTATTAACAGTCTTTCTGGAGCTGAGCTCTTTCACACGACACAGAACTGCCCCAGGAGCACGTTGTTCTGATGGTAAATGCACAAATATAAACAAAGATTCATGCTCTCTGTGTATTTTGACAGGGATACGCTCACGTAGTGTCAAAAAATAGGATGGATCCTATGTTCTGAAATCTACGCGCGCAGGACACACTGCTCCATACGCGCTGCTCCATACGCGCTGCTCCATACGCGCTGCTCCATACGCGCTGCTCCATACGCGCTGCTAATGCTACAGTGGCGTCGCCCTCGTTCACTTTCCAAAAGTTGCAGTTTTTACGCTCTCGTAGGGCGAAACAAGTGTCTAAACGCGACAAGGCCGATCGCCTGCCCCCCCGACAAACACAGAGCCAGCGCTGCACGTGCATGTCCTGCCTCAGCTGCCGATGGAGTCGCCCCCGTGTGGCCCCGCGAGGCAACGACACGGGCGCATTCTCCATCTCCGGGTGGCCCTCTTCTCTCCTACTTGCCATTTCTACATGTGATACGCAGCACCCACCCTCCACACCTTTTCTTTTGCGCCAAAGCGAAACAGGTCACATACGGGCACGAGGCTACAATGCACAAGCCTGGAACCGTGGAAACCGTACGGTACGCACACATCCCAAACCGTGACAAGCGAACCGAATCGTTTTTCATGAACCGTGCCACCCCTAGTTTTAGCCTAATAGAATGTTAATTTGATATTACATAAATTATGTACAGCAGTTCCTCTGATGAGACCTTACAGTCTGTCTCCAATTATTAGAGTGAAACTAGAAAGCTTCACTCTGTAAATCTGTATAATATACAAATTTGATTTTATGAAATTAGTGCCGAAAAATATTACACTTTTTCATGATATTCTAATAATTACAGATAGACTGTTTTATATCATTGTACACAATGTATTGCGATGTCATGACTCCTTGTGCTCTGCTCTTGGTGATGTGATGTCTCTTCCCAGGAGCTCTTCAGATTGAGAACAGTGAGGAGTCTGATCAGGGCAAGTACGAGTGTGTAGCCACCAACGGCGCTGGGACCCGCTACTCTGCCCCGGCCAATCTGTATGTACGGGGTAAGTCCTTCTGAGCACCTTCTAGCAGCTGATAATGTAGTAGCGGCTAATAATGTAATAATTTTGGCCAAGTTTAAACATAATATAAGACCATAATGTAATAAGCCAATAATGTAATAAGTAAAACCAAAGAAAAGTTTTGGCTTTCCTAGTGCCACAAGATCTCTTCTTGGTCTAGGGCTAAACCAGGTCTAAAAGTGGATTACATAAGTTTCATTGTAGTTTTAAACAAGAAATGATCCATAGGATGACAGAAAAGTGGATAAAATTAACTCAAACAAATCCACTCCTATTTATATCGCACAGTTTCCAAAGTGAACGGAGAAGACATAAAAGGTATAAATGCGAAAAATGTAAAACCAGTATAAAATCAAATAAAAGCAAAATTATAAAATCATAAAATTGCAAGTAATATGAATACAAGCAAATAAAAGATAATTGATTAAAGAGATAATTGATTAACAAGATTGACCTGAGCACCTGAGAGAGTGACAGCAGGTCCAGTAGCTCATAACTCTAAGTCCAAGTTCCTCCCTGGTTTTAAGTCTCATCTTAGACACCAGAAGTTGGAGCTGATGAGGAACATTTTCTCTGATGATGTAACTGCAACCAATAATGACTACATTACAATGTGGGGAGTATAATGTAGTCATTATTGGCAAGATTTTAGTACATTATTGACTCAACATAGTTACATTACACAACATATAGTAACATCATCGGACTGTTATTACATTATGGGCTTATTACATTTAAACTTGAAAATGATTACATAATTGGCCATTATTATGTTAGTGGTTGCTACAAACCTCACTCTACTACAACCTGAGCAGTGATCAGAACTGAGCCAGGACTATCCAAACCAGGACTATCAAGACCAGAACTGTGCAGGCCACACTAGTATCTACACTATATACACATATGCAGAGGTGGGTAGAGTAGCCAAATGTTCAAAGTACTTAATCAAGTAAGAGCAATGTTTCTTCAAAATAATATTACTCAAGTTTTGGTCCAAGAAATTACTCAAGTAATCAAGTAACTACTACTCAAGTAAAAGAAACTTAAAAAGTAGCTGTTGGGACTTAAACATCTGATTAATAATTTGGACAAAACATGAAATAATGTACAAAATGTAGTATTTTCAAACGATAGACACAAAGCAGTTTTAGCAGTTTTATTTTCGGCCAATGGCGTACTCCAGCCCCTCAAAATGTTAAATAGCCTCATAACAGGCAGAAAATTCTATGAAACGTCTGTATTTCATTTGTACTGTTTTGTTCTGTGATAATTTTCATTTGTGCGAGTATATTTCTAAAATGATTAATTGTGACTTTTGAGGCAATTGTATGACGACATTTCCACTAACGGCAGCTAACGGCAGCAGCTTTAGCAAAACTAGTGAAGAGAAACGATCTGAGGCTGTGGAAAAGTCTGTGTTATTATAGAAATTATGAATCAGAAACAAGTTTCTAAAGACTGATACAGACTTTTCCACAGCCTGAGATCTTCACTAGTTTTGGCGAGTTTTGCTAAAGCCGCTGCGTCAGCTGAGAGGAAATTACCTCATATAATTTCCACTAAAATAATAATAAATCATTTTAGAAATATATGCACAAAATGAAAACAGTCACAGCACAAAACAGCACAAACAAAATTCAAATGTTTTGTATAATGTTCTGCCTGTTTTGAGGCTATTTAACATTTTTAGGGGCTGGATGACGTCATTGTCCAAAAATAAAACTTAATATTTTAAGAACCAGAATTGCACAAATGAAACTTTTTACAGCACAAATGAAGCACAAATGACTGACACAATTTTGGGTCGTTTTAAAGCATTTTGAAGCTTTCTGGGTGGCTGGCTGACTCCACTTTGACCTATAAAAGAATTGTTAATATCTCCAAAACCAAAACAACACAAATGAAATTTTTTGCAGCACGAAACAGCACAAACAAAGCACAAACGATTTACATAGTTTTTGCTTAGGTTTGTGCTTAATGAAGGGCCAACTTCATGCAGGTTCCTGCCAATACCATATGCTTGTCTTAAAGATGCAACTCTAAGTCCACATGGCCGGTACAAAGAAACTGTGAATGGTTCATTAAATCAGTTATGGTTCCTTTGATTACTCTACTTTTACTTGGACCACGTTTAGCCATGGTTTGAGGTTCGCCTCATGTCTTCTTCACTCACCACAAACAGGAAATGAAATATTCAGTATCCCCTCCTATGATGCAGTTGGTTTGGACCTACTGTCTATGGTCTGGACCCGAGTTCACTCTCTCACCAGAGAGTCAACAGATCCGAGTGCAATTGATGCTTTCATACCATCAATAATGGAATGTTTGGCACTCACCAATTGCTGTCGGTGTAAAAGCACCATTAGATGTCATCCATGCATGTTTGAATAATTTTGTGATCTCTCCCATACCCTGTTTGAACCTTCCTTATGGTTAGCTGTAAGATTATGTGCACAAACCTGATGCGATGTGAAGTAGTTTCACTAATGGGATGCATGCTGATTGTGTTGCGATAGCACTCTGAAGACGGAGTGACAAAAAACATGTTCATACATTGTTTTGGACTAATATAATATTTTCAAAACAATAAGAGGTAATGTGGTGATCTAAATATGATAGCTGTTAATATGCCATAGAAGTAAAATACCATCTCTTTAAAAAGTTACCCAATAAATGTAACTAAGTACTACCCACCTCTGTGCATATTCTCCCACAACAGACCAGTACAGTATGCCTATGTACTGACCTAGACTACACTAGTATCATATGTGTATTGAGTGTATGTTGCTCAAAGACATTGGCTGGTTTTACTCTCTGTGTTTCTTCCTGTTTGCTATTTTTACTTTATTTTGACCCACTTTACCCGTTCATGATTCCACCCTGCCATGGCACACAAACCTGCCCTCAGATCAGCGGGAAGGTTGGTGTTGACTGTCTGGGGCAGGCAGACTTGAGCAGGAGTGTTCCTCTGGCTCGTCGCAGCCCCTCCCTGGCTGAACCCTGTGCTCTGTGTGTGTGTATGTGTGTGTTTGTGTGTATTCCTGCACTACTGTGAGTATATTGCACATGTTCAGTGGGAGTTTGCTGCATAGTCATTGCATGTCATTCGTCCAATGGCACGACTTGTTCAGTATTTACATCTACACTCTGCCCACCAGCACATTTCAAACAGAGCTGCTATACTGGATAGGACCTGTGGACTAAAGAAAAGAGACAGGGGGGAGGAGGGGTATGGTATAATGAACAGTGCGATTGGTCTAGCAGCCAGGTGTTTATAATTGATGTATTTATATATTATTTATTATTTGTTTATTTATTTTATTAAATAGAAACCCCTGGCTTTAATTGTGGCAGTCTTTTGTGATGTCACCAGCTACTTTGGAGAATTGCAGATGCTACTGGAGGCAGCACACACTTTTGACCAGAAAATGTAAATTTATCTAGTTAGTACTTTAGTTGCCAAAAGAACTAGGAACAGCAGATAATACTATTAAAACACCAGGTACACAGTTAAGTAGTGAAATGGTGAAGAAGGAAATTCAAGCCTGTGGCTCTATCAGTTCTGATGGTGAACGTAAGGTCACTGGGAAATAAGATGGATGAACTGTGAGCCCTTGTGTGGACCCAGAGGGAGTGTGCTGTCAGCAGTATCATGTGCTTCACGGAATCCCGGCTTTATGTGAACTTCTTAGACAACAGAGTATCTGTACCAGGCTTTGAGAAGTGTGGGCAGATAGAGAGACTCCTAAGAGGGGTAAGAAGAGGGCTGGCAGGATTGTTGTTTTGCTGAACAAGAGGTAGTGTAATCCTGGCAATATTACTGTGAAGGAGCATAACTGTTCACTGGACACTGAACTTTTGGCTTTGGGATGCTGGGTTGTAGTCTACACACCTGGGGGCTCTACTTAAGATTTCTGGTGATTTCAACCATTCTTCCTTGGACAGTGTTTTACCCACACTTTACCAGTATGTGGATAGTAAAACTCGGACCAATAGAACTTTTGACCTGCTGTATGCCAATTCTAAATGAGGCATACAGTGCCACTGCCCTGCCCCTATTGGGACGATCAGACCACAATCTTGTCCTGTTAACGCCTCAGTATGTCCCTGCAATGGAGAGGCAGCCTGTCACTGTCACTGTAAGAAAGTGGAGTCAGGAGGGCAGCCACGCCCTTTCAGACCACAGAATGGGATGTGTGCTGCCAGCCCAATAGCACAATTGACAGCATAACGAACTGTATAATGAAAGACATCAACTTCTGAGGATACAGCCATTCCCACACACTCTGTCTGCTGTTACCCCAATAACAAGCCCTGGATCACCTGCCAGCTGAAGGATCTGCTTAACAAGAAGAAGGGAGGCTTCAACTCTGGAGACAAGGACAAGGCGAAGAGGATACGGTGACAGTTGAAGGACCATCTCAGGCAGTGGCCAAGAGGCCTACAGGAGAAAGTTGGAGGTAAGACTCTTGCAGAACAACACCAGAGAAGTTTAGAATGGGATGAAGGCCATCACTGGTTTCAACAACAAAACAAAGCAGGACAATAGCCCAGACAGATCAAATCTACAAAATTTACATTTTAATTGTTTTTCACACCCTGGCACCCCCGTCTCTACCCCTTCTAGACATCCAATCCACACCTCACCACATATCATTCAGACGGCCACTCTCTGCTCCCACACCTACTTCCACTCCCACAGAGGAGCTCAGTCCAATGTCTCTGTCACCTGCCCAGGTGAGAAGGCAGATGGAGAAAGTTCATCTAAGTCTCGTGGACTAGACCATGCGAAGAACATGTGCTGCACAGCTAGCTGTAATCCTGCACTTTCTCTTCAACCTGTGTCTGGAGTTTAAATGGATACTGGTGATATGTGCCATTGCACAAAGAGCCTATTCCATCTGGACTTAATGACTTCAGAGCTGTTGCTTTGACATCTCATGTCCTGAAAGTGTTTGAGAGACATGTTCAGGCTCAGTTTGGACGATGCTGTCATCTATCTTCTGCAGTGAGCGTACTCACTCCTGGATAGTGTTACAGGCTCTGTGAGGATATCTTTTTTCAACTTATCCAGTACCTTTAACATAATCCAGCCCTTTCTAAGGAGTGAGAAGCTGCTCAGGATGGGTGACAGCCCAGCCCAGGAGGACACTGGACATACTGCTCTCCATCATGGACACTCCTGCTCACCCATTGCTTCAGACTATAGAGGGACAGAGGAGCTCATTCTCCAACAGGCTCCTACAGCTCCATTCAAACAGTAAGAGATACAAGAATACATTCATACAAGCCTACATCACCCATGCTCCCACTTTAAGTTGAAAACAGCATTTTACAAAGCCCTGGAGAAGATTGTATTGTATGTATGATCTTACCAGATGACAGGAAATGCACAGCACTAGTGTTGACTGTTCATTCTATGTCTACTGCAATGTACTACTGTATACTCCCTCTTCGAGCATGTGGCTGCCTGTATTTCAGCATGCTTTCGAATGGTGCCTGTTCCTGTGCCATGTTTGCATCTGCATCAGTCTCTCCTTTAACAGGTTTAATGTTTTAACTAATTCACTAAGCTCCTGCTTTCTAGTGTTTGATTGCTCTTTTAATGGAGATTTAGAATGTAAAATCAACCTTTTCACCATGTTATAATTGTTCCTTCCTTCTCATTTACACTCATTTACACAGTTGAATTTGTGCATGTTTGAGTAATCTTTATTCTCCTGTATTCAAGATGTCATTGCTCTGATCTACCCTTATTTTCACCACCACGGGTACATGCCCTCAGCTCCGTACTTACTCGGTTCTCCAATATTGTTTTCTTAATCAATGATAAACAGAGGATTTGTCACATAGCATTTTGGGGCAAATGGATTAAAAAATCTGATATACATGCTAATGTAAACTGCAAAGTATGCTCCAGCAGAGCAGCACTTGAAGTCAGCCCCAGCTAGGTTCCACAGTTTTCCAACCTGAAGTCAGCTAACTTGCTTGTTTTCATCAGGCTGTTTTAGATCACTATTGCAATCACATTTAAAAGGTCTAAAATACTATTGTCTAAAACACAGTTTAAAAATGCATAATAGATTAACTCTGTAGCAGAAAGAGGCATGTCTGCTTTAATACCATGTTTAAAATCTGCCTAGGAACTACAGATGAAAAGTAGCAGTAGTAGTAGTAGTAGAGTAGTAGTACATTTACAGAAATGTTGATTAATATAATATACATTATTATTGGAAAAGGGATCTAATGACACTTACATATTTAGATTAACAAACTTCTGAAGTGTATCATTTATGCCAAAACATGATTTTAAAATGTGATACAACATCAAAACACAACAAACATAAGACTTGCAGTGGAGGTTACAGTTGTGGTGCACTGGGCCACCTCAGCCTCCTCTCCCTTGCAGTTCGCAGAGTGCCACCAAGGTTCTCCATTCCGCCTTCCCACCATGAGGTGATGCCTGGGGGCAGTTTGAACCTCACTTGTGTGGCCGTGGGGGCACCTATGCCTTTTGTCAAGTGGGTGAGTGAGGAAGCGGAGCTCAACCGTCAGAACCAGACACCCATTGGCCGCAACGTCCTGGAGCTCACAGACATCCAGCAGTCAGCCAACTACACCTGCGTTGCTACATCCTCCCTGGGCACCATCCACACCACCATCCAAGTTTTGGTCAAAGGTGTAGTACTCCCTCCCTGACCACTACAGAACTGCAGTCATCCTCCTCTGACCGCTGCAGAACTGCAGTACTCCTCCTCTGACCACAGTCGAACTGTAGTACTCCTCCTCTGACCACAGTAGAACTGTAGTATGTTCCCTCTGACCACAGTAGAACTGTAGTACTCCTCCTCTGACCACAGTAGAACTGTAGTATGTTCCCTCTGATCACAGTAGAACTGTAGTACTCCTTCTCTGACCACAGTAGAACTGTAGTATGTTCCCTCTGACCACAGTAGAACTGTAGTACTCCTCCTCTGACCACAGTAGAACTGTAGTATGTTCCCTCTGACCACAGTAGAACTGTAGTACTCCTCCTCTGACCACAGTAGAACTGTAGTATGTTCCCTCTGACCACAGTAGAACTGTAGTACTCCTCCTCTGACCACAGTAGAACTGTAGTACTCCTCCTCTGACCACAGTAGAACTGTAGTATGTTCCCTCTGACCACAGTAGAACTGTAGTACTCCTCCTCTGACCACAGTAAAACTGTAGTATGTTCCCTCTGACCACAGTAGAACTGTAGTACTCCTCTGATTGCTGCATAATTGTAGTACTCCTCTGACTGCTACATAATTGTAGTACTCCTCTGACCATTGCAGAACTGTAGTACGTCTCCTCTGACCACTGCAGAGCTTAGAATTGATAGTACATGATTGTATCTAAAGTGTTGTGTGTTCCCCAGCCCTGCCCCAGTCTCCTACAGGCCTCACTGTTACAGAGACCACAGCCACCAGTGTGACCCTGACCTGGGACTCTGGGAACCCAGAGCCCATCCTCTATTATGTGATCCAGTACCAGGCCCACGGCTTAGGGGACTTCCAGGAGGTGGAGGGAGTGGCCAGCACCAGATACAGCATTGGGGGGCTCAGCCCTTTCTCAGAATATTACCTCCGGGTTTTGGCTGTCAACAGTGTGGGCCGGGGGCCTCCAGGGGCAACAGTCAGCACACGCACCAGTGAGCAAGCACCCTCCTCACCCCCTCTGCGAGTCCAAGCCCGTATGCTCAGCTCCAGTACCATGTTAGTGCAGTGGGAGCCTCCAGAGGAGCCCAACGGCCACATCCAGGGCTACAGAGTGCTGTTCAGCCCAGAGGAGGATGCTCCGCTTAGGGCCTGGCGGTCTGTCAGCACAAACAGACAGCTGCAGATGACACTGTCAGAACTGACCCCAGAGCTCACCTACAGTCTCAGGGTCCTGGCCTTCACCACTGTAGGAGATGGGCCCCTGTCAGACACCCTGCGGATCAAAGCCCAACAAGGAGGTAAGCAACTCAGCAGAGCTCAGTCATACTGTTCACATGTGTGAGGGTTATGTAGCCTGAGGTGTAACAAAACCACATTTAAGTGAAAGTTATTTGTATTGACACAAAAACATTTAGACGCTACCTGCTCCCTGGCTCGAGTCCATGTTTAGTTGGGAACACTTGGATTTGAATCAGGCCTATTACCAATTTTGTCAATTTTATCTCATCAATACTAAAAAAGTTCTTTCTAACCAAATAAAACTGTTAGAAATATGGTGACTGAAAGTTCCAATAGAGAGTATATACAGAAACAATCATTTAAACAGGGTGTTACTGCAGAGAGGTTTAAGGGCCTCTTGTCCTGAGCTAGAGTTGAAGGTATGCTATGGAATATTAATAGTTTAGTCTTTATTAGTTTATTTAGTTTAGTCTTTGTTTTATTTTCGGTCTGCAGTCCATAATTTAGGAAAAAGGATAAATTAGGCCACACGCATGCACGTACACACACACATATACACTCGCACACACATACACACACGCACACACACACACACACACACACCACACACACACACATACACACACACATACACACACACACACACACACACACACACTAATTCTGCCACATTTTACCTTCAAATCTATATGCACTCACCTGCCTCTCTAATGGAGACAAAAATCAGGTCCTCTGACATAAAGTCTTTATTATTAGATCAACAGTGTGATTTAAAGTTCAGTTCTGCACATCCCATTAAATCTAGTCTCTCTTCTCTGCTCACCATAACAGCAAAAATACACAACAGTTGAAACACATAGTCTTCAGTTATGCCTTGTTTGTGTGCCTAGTTCCTGCTCCACCGGTGGACTTCCAAGGTGAGGCAGAGCTGGATTCACAGATCATGCTGTCCTGGATGTGGCCCATCCAAGATTCAGTCATCAACTATGAACTGCAGTACTGGGAGGCTACTACTCCTTCACGGAAGGTACTCACTGCTCCTTTTGCTTTCATAGGTATTTGTACTGACCCCCTTTTAGTATGGCCCTGTCAGTGATGGGAGGAATACTGAATATCCTTAAAATGTATTTTGTAATGTACTGTATTCTGTTACATGGCTTATCAGAGTACTTATTCTGAATACTTACAGTACATTTATGGGTAGAAACGTGAGGCTTATAAACAGCTTTAAGCGTGTTGCATTGCTGTTTATTTATTACTTAAAAGAGAAGCACAGATTCCAGAGGCTGGGCTTGTTTATTGCTTGGATGGGAGACCAGTGGCAAAAGCTGTTGTGTCACTTCACCCAAATTGGCTAGTATGAAAGTGGTGTGTCCATGATTATTGGTGGTGTTCAGATTCAGAGGGGCCGATGGCGCAGACTGGCAGTCTCACTTCTGTTAAGTCTGCCCCAAGGCAGCTGTGACTACAATAGTATCTCCCCACACCAAGTGTAGAACAAATGAATAACGCACAAAACTGTAAAGCAGCTTTGTTATTATTATTATAAGAGTGGTATGTAACACCGTGTATTCCTTTGGTTTTAGTGTTATTTTCTTAATACCAACAAATGAAATAGTGACTGTAACCAAATGTATTTACATGTTTGTTTTTGTTCGTTTGTTATTTTTGGTACATGTGCTTAGTTAATCCCCAGTGACTTGTGTTCCCCAGCGACGGGTCGTGTTGGAGCCAGTTGGGAGTTATGCAGTGCAGGGCCTGAAGCCTGACAGTGTGTACTGCTTCTCTCTGGCAGCACGCTCACACATGGGCCTGGGACTGTTTACACTGCCCATAGAGGTCCGGACTGCCCGCTCCAGTGAGTACCCATAGACAAGTATTACATCACATCATGTCAATAAGAAACTACAAACAATTTGTGACACAATCTTGACATTGAAAAATATATATTTTGCTTCTTCCTACTCCTTTTGTTCTTAAAAATGACATTGCAATGTAAATAAAAGACATACATAAACATTAACATGCTCAAATAAAATGAACTGTGTATCTGATGACTGTGGCTTTTGCAGTGCTTGGAGCCCCTCCAAGAAAATTAGAGGTTCATCCTCTGAATTCGACATCCCTCAGAGTGAGCTGGAAGCCCCCTATACATCTGACACAACATGGGCCCATCAGAGGCTATCAGCTGATGTACACACAGCTTGATCACGAAGAGCAGCCTATTGGACAAGCCATGGTCCTGAATCTGTCTGAGCCAGAAGCACAGGTAGCCTTGTCTAAATGAGAGAGACCCACTGGGTACCAAAACCTTACACTGTCCATCAGATCTCCAAAGGGTTGGGTACTGATGATGACAGATGAAAGGAGGAGAGAAAAAGCAGTTGAGAAGGTGGAGAATGACAGAGAGCAGGAAAAGGGAGAGGGAAGAAGGAGGGAGAAAGTGGAGAGGATAGAGAGGGAAGGGAGAGAGACAAGTATTTATCTGTCCCACTCTATCAAGGAGCTCCTCTCTTTGATAGAGTGGGACAGATAGTTGCATGTCTCAGAGATAAAGACAGATGTTGTTGAGAGGAGTGGGGAGTGAGAGAAGAGAGAGAGAAGAAGAGGAAAGAGAAGGAGAAGAGAGAGGAGGGGAAGTAATGGAGTGAGAGAGAAGGGAGAAGAGAGACAAAGAGAAAGACAGGAGGACGAGCATTAAAGAGGTAGAACACACATTGGCCTTGTTTTGTTTCACATTATCACACACAAAATGTACTCTTTTGACCTTTGAACCATGTTATAACATTATTGTCCCATCTCTCAAAAACATACTTGCATCTATATTTAATAATCAGTGGATTTATAAAGTGTCTTACAAGATACCCAAAGCACTTTACAGTGCTGTATTTATTTACTCTCACATATACACTCGTGTGGGCAGACTTTAGAAAGTGAGGCTGCCAATATGCGCCCATCTGCCCACCACCCACATTCACACTAGACAATGCGTCTTGCTTAAGGACTTAACAACAACAGATTTTGTCACTGGCTCCTCATTATGGGACCTTATTTTCTTAGTGATCTCCGGTCCAACTACAAACCTGGCTCAGGTTTTTACAGTCTTGTTCGCTTTCATTAATCCAGTTTACATGGAAATGTTGTAATGACTGAGCCAAAAACCCTTAAGCAGACACAGACAATTTGTGCAAAAATATTACAGAGTTAATTATATCCAGGGAAAATTTAGGTCCACACAGACAAAGGCCATTTATCAATTCCCAGCCTGCAGATTCCATACTTGTGTACTTTTGGGACAGGTGGACTTTTCACATGTACTAAAATGTATGTGGGTGCTTTCTGTAATAAATGCTAATTATATTAAAAATATATTTAAAAAAATATAGTGCCAAATTAGCTTTTTTGAGCAACCACACAAATTTAGACCAAGATTAAATATTAACCTGATAAATAATATTTAAATTATTATAAAATAATATATAAAAAATGTTGTTTCAAAGTTTCAGATCTACCAAAAAGCCTGCTGCATTTGTCTCAAGTTTCATAGAATTGTGAAGAAATGGAGAAAATGAAACAAGTGAAAAAGATTTATTCACTACATCTGCGAAAACAAACCCTGCTTAGGATATATGAAAATGTGCTGCATTTAGGGAAATAGTTACAAATAAAACCATTAGATCAGGGGCCTCATTTATAAAGCTTGCTTTCGCAAAAATCCGTGCGTGCGCGCTTCCTACGCCAACCACGGTATTTATAAAACTCGGCTAAGGCTCTTTGCTTAACTCTACGCCAACTCAGGACCTCCTGTAAGTTCTATGCAAAGTCTGGAGACACGGGGAAAAAGCGACACTCGTGGAGAGAAGCAGAAGTGAACAGAGTTTGAGGAAGTGTTTGATCAGAAAATCCACGTATATAGAAGAATTACCTTCAGATTTGCGCATTTAAGTGTTTGGTTCACCAAAATACGGAGAAGGGCTGTTTATTCCACTCATTATTCTCCACAGTATTATACATTTGAAACTCGTGCACGAGCGCGGCCACGTTCCCGGACTCGGTGTAGCGCAGAGTCTCCCACGGTCTACACCACGACCATAGACTTCTATAGAACACAGACTGTGACCAACACAGAGGACGAAATAATGACCCGACCTGAGAGAAAACTCTTCCCTTGGACGCAGCAGGAGCCAGGCTTTGATTTAATGAACGCAACTTTAAGACTTTTACTTTAGTCTTTATGCACTGAGCGGCAGAGTGACCCGAGTCTGTGGACAACACGAAGCCTACTGCCCGAACCTGACCCCAACCAAAATCTTCCCTAAATTTTTGTGCAATGGGGAACTCTTGCACATGAGAGCTGCTCTCTGACTGTATGAAGAACAGAATAATGCCCGTGCCCGTCCCGACCCAGACCCACACTCACAGAGGTCAGACCCAGACCCACACTCACAGGTGAGCAGTTTGGATGTTTCGTGTGGACTTTAATTGGCAGAATAACATCTGTATCTGATGTGTTTCATGCTAAATCTGTGTCCTCGTATCCCCCCCTCGCTCCTTTCCCTCTCCAGGGGAGGGCATCTGAATCTCTCGCATGCACTCATAATTTGACCATTCAGATCAGCGCGTGCACATATCTGTGTGTAAATGCATAAATATACAGGGCCAGTCCACACACACATCATATACAGACTTAAAAATATAGCGATACAACTCTTGAAACAGCGAAAAAACACATGGGCTTTACTGCAAAGATGTGCTGCCTAAATATTATTTAAAAAATGATTAAATGAACAGATGAGTCATTGTTGTCACTTTTAGTTTTGTATGTATTTATTAAACAAGGTTTAATAAAGTCTTTAATAAAGTCTTTGTCGTGATCACGTGGTGCTGCGTGGAGCGTCCTCCTCCCTCTGTCCCGCGTGTCTCGGTCACACCCACTGATTATCGGCTCATGTTTAGGGAAATCTCATTCACGAGTCACTTTACATGCTCCTTTTATGGTGAGGTGGAGGTGTGGAGAGGGCGTGACGTGATGTGGGTTCATCCATCCATCCATTTTCGTCCCGCTTATCTGGGGCCGGGTCGCGGGGGCAGCAGCCTAAGCAGGGACTCCAAGACTTCCTTCACCCCAGACACGTCCTCCAGCTCCTCCGGGGGGACCCCGAGGCGTTCCCAGGCCAGCCGAGAGACATAGTCCCTCCAGCGTGTCCTGGGTCTTCCCTGGGGCCTCCTCCCGGTGGGACATGCCCAGAATACCTACCGAGGGAGGCGCCCAGGAGGCATCCGGGAACAGATGCTCGAGCCACCTCAACTGGCTCCTCTCAATGTGGAGGAGCAGCGGCTCTACCCCGAGCTCCTCCCGTGTGACTGAGCTCCTCATCCTATCTCTAAGGGAGTGCCCAGCCACCCTGCGGAGGAAACTCATTTCAAGCGCTTGTATCCGCGATCTCGTCCTTTCGGTCACTACCCAGAGCTCATGACCATAGGTGAGAGTAGGAACGAAGACTGACCGGTAAATCGAGAGCTTCGCCTTTCGGCTCAGCTCCCTCTTCACCACAAAGGTCCGATACAGCGACCGCATCACTGCCGAAGCTGCACCGATCCGCCTGTCAATCTCACGTTCCGTCCTTCCCTCACTTGTGAACAAGACCCCGAGATACTTGAACTCCTCCACTTGAGGCCACGTAGGTTCACGTGTGCAAATTCTAGTTGCAGGTGGGATCTATAAAGCAAAGATTGCGTGGTTTGGTGCGTGCGGTGGGTTTTCTAAATATGGAGTTTGCGTGGCGCACGCCTTGTCGTAGCTACTAGGTGTACGCACTAACTTACGACAACTCCTGCGCAGTTTTTTATAAATGAGGCCCCTGATCATGATTCTTTTACATGTTGAGCAATTCGATTTTAATAAACCTGTGTATGTATAAAGGATGTCACAATTGAGCATAGGCTAAGGTTGCCTATGTTAGGAGTGCATTTTTTCCCAAATTTTCTTTGAAGCCCACATGACTGTATCACATGTACCCCTGGAGTTCTCTCTGGGGCTGTAGACAGGCCATCACAGATCAGCCTAATGCTGTAGTGGGACAATGGAAACCTCAACAGACTCCAGTGCAGTGAGAGTGCAAATATGGTTCTTTCCATGTACCACAGATAACGATCATTACTAAAGGAGCCTTTGTAAAATCATGAGTGCACATTAACAAGTTGTAGCTCAGGCTTTATTGTAAGAATGGCTTAATGGGAGAGAAACATAAAATGTTTGCTATAGTTGTGCTGTGTATGTTGAACTAGGGCTGGGCGATATGGATCAAAAAATATATCTCGATATATTTTGTTATATCTCGATATACGATATATATCTCGATATGTGTTCAAGAAAAAATAACCCCCTAAAATTGAAAACTGCAAAAACAAATCTGCCAATTCCACAAGGTCTTTTTTTTTTAATTAAAGTGTCAGAGGTCGGCAGTTCATATAGGAACATTTAAGATGACAAAAAACCCTAATTACATAAATAATAATTTAACTGTAAAATAAAAGAAATAATACATATTTCCTTCTTTTCATTCATAAATAAAACAACTCAACACAAGCTCATCTTTGCATTATCTCTGTTATCCAGACCAGAACCAGAACCATGAGTTCATTTAGCAGAAGAAGCTCAGGATGTTCCTTATTTCAATAGATCCATGTTCCTATCCAGCAGTAAGGAGCACTGAGGTTTAATCCCACAATCCACTGCAGATCAAACCCAACGTTTCCAAACACTATTGTACAAGTGAAACTGAAGCAGATAATGAATAAAAATATTCTGCATAAATAAACTTTACATGACTAAACTTTACAATATATAAAGGATAACGACTCTAGAGCCACATCAGCTCGTTTGCGATAATAATGTGTTTAATGTAGTTTTGCGCACGTGTGTTTACATTTTACAGAAACGAAACTTAAGCGCATGACTCATTTGCATAAACAGCACTTCTCAAGCAGCTCAGCTCGTTTAGCTTCTTTCGGGCTAAAGGACGCGACTCGGTGGAATATGAGGATGTGCTGCTGATGTTCTTGTCTGTAAATGGTGGAAAAGGTTCGTGGTGCTTGAAGCTTTTCACTGGCACCAACTTTCGACGTTCACGGCGACAGTGAGGAGTGAAGGAGACACGAGCGAACAAAATCAGGGAGGCAGAGGCGCGCGGAGGCGATGAGAGAGAAGGTAAACAAGCGAAGCTGCGAAATCAAAATTGAATATAAGCATTATATCGATATATACGATATGTCAGAATTCATATCAAGTTTAAAAACTATCTCGATATATTTAAAATATCGATATATCGCCCACCCCTATGTTGAACCACAAAACAATATTTAGTGTAGGCTGTTAAAAGGGCTCAGCCTGAAGGAGCAACGTGGGGTCATCCTCCCGTGGACCCACCACCCGCGGGAGGTGCCATAAGGGGCTGGTGCATGGAGATCTGGGCAGCAATCGAAGGCAGGGGCCATGACAACCGGATCTGATTGGGAGGAACAGCCTCCTTGATCTGAATCCGAGTCATGTTGTGTTATTGGACTTCTGTGCAGGTCACAGTTTGTCCATAATGAACACCATGTTCAAGCACAAGGGTGTCCATCAGTGTACGTGGCACCAGGAAGCCCTAGGCCGGAACGTCTGACAGAGCCCTTGGTCAGAGGGCTCTGTCTAGCTGTGGCCGTAAGGTCTGTGGTGCCTGTCGCAGTGGCAATCCCCAGACCCCGTGGTGGACATTCGACTGTGTCCCTCGTGGTGTCCTGTGGGGGGTGCTCTGGGAGTATGGGGTCCGGGGCCCTTTGCTAAGGGCTGTCCAGTCCCTGTATTACCGCAGCAAGAGCAGTGTTCTCATTGCTGGCGGTTTGCAGCTGAGTGTGAAGCGGCTGGGATGAGGATCAGCTCTTCCGAGTCTGAGGCCATGGTTCTCGACTGGAAAAAGGTGGCTTGCTCTCTCCGGGTGGGTGGAGAGTCCCCGACTCAAGTGGAGGAGTTCAAGTATCTCAGGGTCTTTTTCATGAGTGAGGGAAGCATTGGCAGTGATGCGGTCGCCGTATCGGACCGTTGGGGTGAAGAGGGAGCTGAGCCGAAAGGCGAAGCTCTCAATTTACCGTCAATCTTCTTTTCTGCCCTCACCTATGGTCATACACATATGGGGGCAGTAGCTCAGTTGGTAGAGCATTTGCCCACTGATCTGAAGGTCGGTTCGAATCCCACTCTCAACATGAACATCACAGGTTGAGCGGTCAGATCCACTGACCCACAGGTTGGCTGGTGTGATTCCAGCTCCCACAGATGAATGCTGCTGTTGTGTCCTTGGGCAATAGAAAAATGTGACCATTTACCATATTGGAACCTGAACACACAAGAAATACTTAGGATACCAGAACAGCTAGCCAAAAAGAAAAAAAAAAGTACAAGAATTTGGAACACACTATTAACCTTTGTGCAACACACACACACACGGACACACAAATACATACAAACTGCAGGGAAAAAAACAGATGGAAAAGAAGGGATAACCAGGGCCTACATCACAAGGAAAGGAAAAGGAGGTGAAGGAAGACAGAAGACCATGAATTAGTGGTATTCCTTGCTGACCTTTAGGGCCACTGAAAGGCTCAAACTGGGCTCAGATCTGCTCCATTACTGAACCTTCAATGGCAAAATCTATGTCAGGCACAGCAACCCTCTCTGAGCAGTCAAGCAACCAAGCAAGATCAGCTGGAATATCATTTCGAGACAGAGATGCTGGACAGTTCTGGACTCTTTGTCTTGGTCAGTGTTAAATATGTTAAAATAATGTATTTAAAAATGTGAACACTTTCTTCAGATCTGTATGTTGCTTACATTCAAGTGCAGTGGCCACATAAGACAGACTGTTACTGTATTTGCACAACATTAAATGCACTGTGGTATAATGTGTAACAAATGTAGGCCAGTCTGTGCAAAGATCGTTGTAGTGGAAAATTATCTTTTTAAATAATAAAACTTCTGTTGAAGCAACAAAACAAAAGTTTATTTAATATATGTGCAAAGAGAGGCAGAGGACAAGTCTGTTCAATGCAGGGTTGTAACTCTGTCTGAACCAGCATCAGACTCACAAAATATATATAGTAGTGTCTAAACAGGTATTACCAAAAGAATCATCTCTATTTCTGCTGGGTCGTGATGCCCCAAAACTTATACAAGGACAGTTACTTCCTAATATGAGCAGTGCACCTCTCTTCAAAACAGGATATAAAGCAGAGACAATGAAAACTCTGAATAACTGCATGTAGAATCAGTAACAGTATTTTCCCATTACACCCTCTAATGACCTGCGCATGTGCATTTTGCATGTTTGGAGTAGCAAGATCGAACCCCTGCTTTAATTTGATAAGATTAAAAAAACTAAAACTTAAAACTGCACATGCTTTAAAATAATTACAAATATTCTTATTATTACAGATAATGTAATGTGTTCAGGGTTGCAGTAGCGGTATGTGGCTAGTCATTAAAAGTCTCAAGGGGTGACTACAAAAAGTTTGGGACTCGCTGCTCCAAGAGGAGTATTTTAAAGGTATCCTTCAATTATGGGTAGTTCACACAGGCTGAATGTGTATCTGCTTTTGTTTGTTGTGCATGTACCAGCAGCATTATAGTGAGTCTGGGGCCTATGGTCTTGGGTAGTAATTTTGGCTGGAAACAGTTTCAGTAAATGCATTGATCCCTAATACAAAATATATTTGGAATTGTTTTCAAAACATTCAATTATTTTATAGTAAATAAGCTTTATAAATGGAAATGGATATGTTGTTGCTCTGCCTGGAATGTTCCACATTATGACATAAACAGCTACACCTTACATTTATTAAATTACAGATGGTTTTATAACTCAGAAATACCTAAAAAAAAAAAAAAAAAACAGACAATGAAGTTATGTGTGAAAGCCTTTGGCCAGATATACAGAATTTGTGATAATTCAGACATTTGGCCTAAATAAGGAAGAGCTGATGGTGATCATAAGTTGAGATGAGCACCCACATGAGATTTATTTATTGTGATGTCATGAAGTCCACCTGTCCCAAAAGCGAGAGAGCTGAGTGTGTGCTCATGCACTCCACAAGTCTGTACCCGGGAGTACTAGAGTACAGAGTCTATAGACTGGGAATTGAGAAATGGCTAAAGACACACAGACACAAGAGGGAGGGGGAAACACCGGACACAGGACACAATAAGACGAAATTGCTCAAATTTCACAGGATTGTGATATTGAAGGTTTCCTATGTTGTTTTTGAGTACACAAATCATTGCCTGACTTGTTCTAAGCATTCCTGCTTATTATCAGTTTGTTAAGATGTTGTTTTAATTCCACTTTTCTAAGTCTAAAATAATTCCAAGTATACTTGTAAGACTACCACTGGTTTTGAAATGCTGGTCAGGTTTGTACTTCTTTGTAGTACATTTAGTTGGTGAGCACATGTCTCTTTGACTCTCTGTATTGTTTTGTAGGAAGCCATAATTACAGGACTACAGGCAGAGAGTACATACTCTGTGACTGTGGCAGCGTATACGACTGAGGGGCAAGGAGCTCCCAGCAAGACCTGCCTGGCCACCACCACAGGAGCAGGTCTGTCTATGCTCTTTCATATTATTCTGGATACAATATAGTTCATAATGGTATGGTATTTTGCAGTGCCTGGCTCCCCCATCATGATGATTAGCACTACTATCAGCAACACTGCACTGATCCAGTGGCAGCAGCCAAAAAAGATGGTGGGGGAGCACATGGGTTATCGGCTGCAATACAAAAATCAAGAGGAGGATGCCTTCACTGTGAGAGACTTTAGACCAACGGAAGACCACTTCACTATCACAGGCCTCCATAAGGGGGCCACCTACATCTTCAAACTCTGTACCAAGAACCAAGCTGGCTGTGGGGAGGAGTATGTGAAGGAGATCAGTCTCCCGGAGGATGTCCCAGGCAGTTACCCTCAAAACTTCACAGTTGTGGGACTGTCCTCCACCAGCACAGAGCTGTCATGGGACCCACCTCCCCCAGCCCAGAGGAATGGGAGGATAGTCCAGTACATGGTGGTCTACCGTGACATCAATAGCCAGAGCAACAGCAGCCTTAGAATCAGCTCCACCCGCGTCAGTCTGGAGGGTCTGCAACCTGATACCATGTACGACATTCGGGTTCAGGCCTTCACCAGCAGAGGAGGGGGTCCTCTGAGCCCCAGCATCCAGAGCCGCACTTTAGCCACCTTCATGCCAGGTGACAAGACCTCCATTTGTTACACTTGTATTTAATGTAGTACACAGCTGGGTGCTTTTACTTGTTGGTACCAGTACTAAAAATGATACCTGCTTTCCAGTACCAGTACCTGAAAGGTATTTGGGTCAGGTTAAGCGGTAACGGAGGGAAACAGGGGCAGATCTTTTACATTCAATTAGCTCTTATTCAGAAACGAGAGGGACTATAGAAATAAGTAAGGTATCAGAATGTAGGAAAGAGTTAACACTCCAATAAGGTAAAGTTAAACCTGCGATATTATTAAGTTGTTGACAAAAAATTTAAAAAACTCATGTCGATAACAGAGGGAATGAAATATGCAGCACTTTTTGGGCAATAAATACAAACAGTGATAACTCTTGGTTCTCACTTACATATCCTTTACAAACTGGTTTGAATATTTGCTTCATATAGTTTTCTACCATATGGTACAAGATTAGGTTGAAAAACCTCTTACCTCTTTTGAGTCATGAGATTTTTTATTAAGAAAGGTCATGGTAACGGAGGGAAAAGTAATGGAGGGAAAATTGTGCAAGCAAGAAGAAGGTGCATGATTTTGCCTAATTTGTCAGCTTTTTCCTTCCGAATACTTCAATATTACTTCAAAATGAAAGGTAACCATTTCTATAAAATATGTCAGTCCTTCCAAGCAAATTTTTATCATTTTAAATAATTTTTTTTGAAAAATCATATACCTTCATCAACAGTTCAAAGATGGAATAACACAAGATATGATGAAATACATCCATTTATTTACATGATTTGCAGGTCTTTGAAATTTGGGGAAATAATTTTTGTTCCATGTTTCATACATGGTCTGTTTAAAACATATGTAACTTTAGAACCAAAAATGGTACAGAAAAAAGGTCAACAGTTTCATAAACTAGAGTACATATGTATCTGTTGAATATATTTTTATATCAGATGCATTAATTTGAATTTTTGGCCTTGCTGTTTACTTCTGCTTGACCGGGCCCATTTACTTAGACCTGGCCTGTGGCATAGATTGTATAGGCAAATGATAAGGGTGCACAATGATGGCGGAGTGCCCAGCCACTGTCAGGGTGCCCACACATATAAATATTCCTGCAATGCAATGTGCCTAACCGCATACAGCATATAGACACAGTTGTGACTTGCCTGCTTGAGCCTGGTTTGAGTGCAGGGAATAAAACATGTGTCAAGTTGTGATATTAGAGGTTTTAGGACTTTTACAGGACATTTGGGTTTTTTCATTAATGATTACATATACAAATTATTTTTATTAATTCATTTCCTCAGCAGTTATTAAGAACTTTGCAGCAAGGAGAGCGACCACAAGTTCTGTGCTTCTCACTTGGGAAATACCAGACACCTACAAATCCCAAGAGCCTCTGAAGGTAAAGACTAGCTCATCTAGTCTAGTTTCTCACTACGTGTCTTGGTGATCAAAGTGTATCTTCAGTGATGTATGTAAAGAGGGTACTATTGTTGTACACCCTGAAAATCGAATATCTGTGACTAGATATGTATCTATATGTTGCTGTTGTTATTTAATGATGTGTCTGTGGCGTGAAGTTCTGGCCCATATTTTAAAGGTTCATGACTATAAATCACCTAATCTAGACAAAAAAAAAATCAGTGACTTGTGGCTGTGTGTCCCTCAGATTCAATACGGCGCACAGAGTGTGGAGGTGCCGGTGCAGTACCAGAAGGTATTCATTGGGGGCCTCCAGGCAGATACGGAGTACTCCTTTGTGCTCAGCAGCCTGGAGCTTCAGCTGCAGGTGTCTGTCCGCACGGCAGCCTTCCTACTTTCCACAGCTCCAGTCCTACAGTCCCAGGGTCCTGAGAAGAGGGGCACACTGGCCCTCAGTCTGCCCACCACACCCCCACCTGGAACTGTGAGGTACAACAACACCATGAGTCATTGAGACATAGCGGAATAGATATTACATATGTATTTGGAGGAAAATGACATTAGAATTGATTTTACATATGTATTTGGAAGAAAATTTGACCAAATCAGCGTGTGTGCATGAGGATAAATTGTGAAATGATGCATAAAAAAAAAAAAAATGAACACACGACACAGAAAGCCAGGACACAGTCAACACTAACAGGGATCAGTGGAACACTTCTGAGTGGAAGAAAATCATGTATTATTATTAGATCATACTTTAGAGTCAGAATGCAGATTAAAAAATAATAATAATAATTTGGCAATGAAGGAAGACACAGATACAATGGGATTACACTTAGACATACAGTACATACAGGACATTTAACCCTGTGGCACTGTGGCACACACAGTACTACACCTGGATGGGAATAGCCCACATTCTGTGCTTCTGGACATGGCTGGGGTCAGAAATTACGTTTATTATTATTAATTATGTGTCCTTCACAGATGGTTCTACATTGTGGTAGTACCTGTCCCAGAAGCCCATGTGGACCAGTGGACAAGCCCTGATATTGTGGATCTGGAAGAGGTGAGAGCCCTGTGAGGAGACACACTGTGCTCCCAGGAGGATTCATTTATTCACCACTGTGTCTCAGTCTATGTGAGACAAGGGCGCGACTTTAGTGCCAAGACTCTTCCCTGTCCTCTGCTTCGCTCTTTCCTCTCCTTCGATCATTCTTCTCCTTCACTCTTCCCTCTCCTTTGCTCTTCCCTCTCCTTCGCTCTCTCCTCACCTTTTCTCTCTTCTTCTTCACTCTTCATTCTCCCTTGCTCTTTCTCCTTCTCTCTCCTCTTCCTTATTCTCTCCTCTCTCCTCTGCAACTTTCCTCTCCTTCGCTCTCCATTCCTTCTCACTCCTCTCCTTCTCTCTTCTCCTTTGCTCTTCCCTGTCCCTCACTCTCTCCTTCTCCTTTGCTCTTCCCTGTCCCTCACTCTCTCCTTCTCCTTTGCTCTTCCCTGTCCCTCACTCTCTCCTTCTCTCTCTTCTCCTTTGCTCTTCCCTGTCCCTCGCTCTCTCCTTCTCTCTCTTCTCCTTTGCTCTTCCCTGTCTTTTGCTCTCTCCTCTCCTTCCGTCTCCTCACCTTCTCTTTCCTCATCTTCTCTCTTCCATCTCCCTTGCTCTTGCTCTTCCTCTCCTCTTTGCCTCGCTCTGTTAATCTCACCTCTTGGCCCTTGCTGAAGGAGATGCACATGTTCAAGCGCACATGCTTTATCATGTGTAATCTTTATCAGTTCAAAGTTCAAAGTTCGCTTTATTGTCACTTTCTTCACATGTACCTGACATACAAACAAAGGAATCGAAATTATGTTTCTCTGTGTCTCATGCATAGACAAGACAAGAGAGGACAAACATTAAAGTGCAAGGACAACATTTACATGCACAGACACAACAAATAACATAATCTCTAACACTACAGTCACCAGAGATAAATAACTAAAGCTAAAAGCACTAGTGCACAGTGCATAGCAGTTCAAGTCAAATCAAGTATTAGCAGCAGGTGGGTCACGTATTAGCGTTATGTGGGTCAAGTGCAAATGGTAAATAGTGCAAAGGCATATAGTGCAAGGCTTTTTAAATCTTTAATCTACAGAAATATACTTCATCATATGCTATGTTATCTTAATTATCCACAATTTAGGATACAGCATTAAAAATGCTGTAAAAATCATGCACAAACTGAATCTGACTTGACTTTAAGCACATTATTATTGGACATAGGCAGCTGTTGTGCTTCGGTGAAAAAATGTTACCACCTTCCTAACCCTCCTCAGGAGTCGGGATACTTGCTTTAGTGAGATTGCGCTCTTGGCTGCAAGGGTACGCATCCAAAGGTTTACGCTCACGTAGAGTGAAATACACATCAGTGTTTACACGCGTAACCTCACGAAACCACAGCGGCACGCCAACGTAAAGGCAGCTCCACCAACAACCACAGCAGGGCACACTGGCTCCAAGACCGCCAATAAGAAAGCCGACCAAACCTGACTGAGCACGCTTAGCCACTTGTATCAGGTCCACAGTGAAACTAAGGGCCTGGCTCCACTGCACGCGTCAACGTTTACGCACGTAACTTCGCGAAACCACAGCCACGCGTCTATGCAAGAGCAGCTCCACCAGCTGCAGCAGCAGGACATACACGCGTGACACTGGCTCTGTGTTTGTCAGTGGGGAAGCAGATGGTAAATGGTCACATTTTTCTATAGCGCTTTTCCACCTTCAAGGCATTCAAAGCACTTTACAACAAGGAACCACTCACCCATTCACACACCAGTGTACATAGACACAAGGTGGGTTAAGTGTCTTGCCCAAGGACACAACGGCAGCATTCATCTGTGGGATCTGAAATCACACCAGCCAAGCTGTGGGTCAGTGGATCTGACCCACAGCTTGTGATGTTTATGTCGAGAGCTGGATTCAAACCGCCAACCTTCAGATCAGTGGGCGAATGCTCCACCAACTGAGCTACTGCCACCCACTGGTCAAACTGAACTGGGCACGATTAGCCGCTTGTATCAGGTCCACAGTGAAACTAACAGCTGAACACACTTGTATTTACCTTCTGTACAGGCTCACAACAGCAAACACAAAAACAAAAGTAAATTTTAACAGTCTTTCTGGAGCAGAGCTCTTTCAAATGACACAGAACTGCCCCAGGAGCACGTTGTACCGATAGTAAACGCACATCTACAACCAAAGATTCATTCTCTGTGTGTATTTTGATGGGGATACACGCCTACGCTCGCGTAGAGCATCAAAAAAGAGGATGGATCCTATTTTCTGAAATCTACGCACACATGACATGCTGCTCCATACACCTCTACTTCCTGCTTTTGCGTCTGCATGTGAAATATTGTTGAGGACTGTCCCCTATCAGCTCAACATTGTTGGGAACAACAATGAATGTTACTAATATTTAGTTAAATGAAGTAACAATTACTAATAAATTATTCAGCTAGTTACTTTCAATATCAGCATCAGTGCTTAGGAAGATATGGTAAAGGAGAAATTCAATTTGTCAACTGAACAAAAGTTTTTTAGTCAAATACATTTCGCAGCTCATCGAAGCTGCTTCAGATCTGGTCAGAATGCTGCTGGGTACTTTTTTATATCTGCCTGCAGGGAGGCGCAGGGAGGAGCTAACTGTAGTGAAACTATTCTGAAACTGACACACCTACTTGTTTACAGTTTCTGTTAGTTAGCTAGGCCCAGTGGCGAACCACTAGGACCAATTGCTGGCTATCATGACATTTTTCATAGGCAAAATTATAAATATATATTATAAATATATGTATTATATATAGGCTATATAGTATTATAATGAATGCCACAAACAGACTAGACTGGTCACTACTGGTAGAACTGTATCTATCAGAGCACAACGCACAGCCAAGGGTAAAGATTACACAACCTAATCCACCACTCACACACAGCCCCAACAACACAACCCAACACAACACTCACACACAGCCCCAATAACGTCAGCAAAACTACAATAAGAGGCTACGGTCACAATATGAACACACAGCATCGGCACCGCTCCTAGAGCGCTCAGCAGAACAACCGGCAGCTCCAACGCACCCACGAGCCCATTTACACACTATTTAACTATTAACACTATAACACTATTTAACTATTAGCACTATAACACTATTTAACTATTAACACTATAAAACTATTTAACTTTAACACTATTTAACTATTAACACTAGAAAACTATTTAACTATTAGCACTATTTACCTGTGAGGCTTCGCCCGCAGATTTGCCCAAAACTAATGAAAACAAGCCTCTTACCTTCTCCAGGGGACTGATGCAGAGCGTATCCTCTACCCACTGTCCTGTTGGTTCTCTCTCCAATATGAAGAGATCAAACTGGTCAAAGTCCCGGTCCAGTCAAGTCCGCAACACAAAGTCAGGGAGCCAAGTGCACAAAGTAAGTGCAGTTGTAAAACTAGTCTTAATCTCACTTCCCACTTAAACCTAAAAGTTACAGCCAGTCCATATTAGCACTAGGACACCACGTGGACTTAAGCTCTCCGCGCCCAGAAACGAGCTGGCAGAGGTAGATAGAGCAACGAGTGACTGCCCTGGCCCCTGCAGCGACTGCCCCGGGTCCCAGCGGCAACAGCGGGTGCTGCTCCCCTCGCGCTCTCCTCTGTTGAACTTTAAGCTAAAGTTGCTAGCCGCCATTAGCGAGTGTGTGAATCAAAATAAGAGCTGTAGGATTTCACCGCAGCCAAATGCACTCATTTCAGCTTAATGCTTCTTTTCTTGCTTGGCAGAAGGGCACCGCTAAAGAGAAGACATATTACTCCCTAAAAACTGTTCCTCGAACAAACTTTGACTTGAAGTTGAACTCACCATAACTCCTGTACCACACAGCCCTGTAGTTATCCATGCATTAACCTGTAGCAGTAACACGCTGCGGCTGCCAGTGGAGGGTTAGGGTGGGGCAGAGCTATTGCTCGCTTATATTTGCTATCACAGGATATTATATATTAGATTATATTAGATTAGATATTATACCCTTCCCCCATTTGCTTCAAGCTCCCTATCTTGGACCTCAATCAAATTAAGATTTATTGACTTGTGTTCTGCCGAGACATTTCCTGTCATGCTATCTCACCCTTTCAGGGATTAAAGATAATTTTACAAACAAACTTTTCTATAAAGTGGTGCATTCTGGCAAACCCGGACACATCCATGTAGGCCCCACTTGAGCCCTGTGTTGTAGTGTCCAAATAAGTCCAAGTTTGTGTTGCATTGGGTGTTTTGTTGCACCACCACAACTTGGAGTTACTGGTCCAAGGTCCAAAACAGCCAGTCCACAAGAGGATGTTCTGACACAGACGAGAGAGCAGCAGTGGTCCTCAGTCTGCTGTACATCTCCATCTAAAAGCCACAGGAAACTCATTTGAGGATAGTGAGGTACAGATCTTAGCCAGAGAAAAGAATTGGTTTGAAAGGAGAAAGAAGAATGAGAATCCTTCTTCTAAACAGAAATGGGGGACTCAGACACCATGTGTCTCCTATTTACAACTCCATCCTCAAACCTAAATCAAAACAAACAAGAGAACAACAGCTGTAGCCAGGTCAGGCCCAGAGGTGTGAAAGCTCCATTATGGACCTGAATGGTTACACTAAAAAGACCCCACATTCAGTGCAGTTCAATAGTCCGAGCTAACAAACAGAAACCGTAAACAAGTAGGTGTGTTAGTTTCAGAGTAGTTTCACTGTAGTTAGCTCTTCCCTGCAGGCAGTGTTGGGGAGTAACGGATTACATGTACCGCCGTTACGTAATCAGAGTACAAATTATGAGTAACTGTATTCCGTTACAGTTACTGTTTCAGTGAGTGGTAATTGGATTACAGTTACTTTGCTGAAATAAGTGGATTACAAGGTGGTATTTTCCTGTTTTCACATTTTGTGCTACATCCCATTTATTTATTTTTTTATTTTGGTAATTCCACTCATTGCCAGAAACCCAAACAGAACGCGCGCAATAAGAGCGATGTAAACGGCATGTTAAAGTTGGCGGTGTCAGTCACACAATGGAAGCAGCAGTGCATTGGTAAAAACGCATTTGTGTCTTGGAAATTCTTCTCCCGATGTGAGATATATATATAAAAAAACAAATATAAAATCGCCTACAACTTAAATGTGAAACTGGAGCTACCTGCATAGACTCATAATATCTGCACTACTGTCCTATAGTGACCTGCCACATGAGTGGACGTGCACACAAACACACAAACACACACAAACACACACCTTCATCATCGTCATCAACCTGAGAACCCGCGGACCACGTCTCCTTCCGTAGTTACAGCGCGGACACCGCCGTCTCGTGCGCCGCGTGTGGACCGTGTTTTCTCGCGTAAACCGCGCTTCCTCCTGTGCGCCTCTAAACCAGAACTAACACCAGGACTAAACCAGGACTAACCCAGGACTGAACCAGGACTAAAGACCTGGTCTAGACCAGGTCTAAAATCAGGAGTAAACCAGGTCTAAAAATCAGGACTAAACCACGACTAAACCAGGACTAAACCAGGACTAAAGGTAGGTTGACATAATTAAAGGTGATGTCATATAAAAAATAATTTCTCTATCAATAATATTTTTTAATCTGGTGAAGGAAAGGCTGATCTTGTTACTGTCTTTTAACAGACAAAACCTCTTATATTAAGATATCGTGGTCTTTGCTTCTCTACAGCAAACAGTTGCTTATTCATGGAGACTTGGGCTCAGACAATTTGAAGACAACAAACAAGAATTTTCAGGATGTGGTTGCTACATTCATGTCGTTTAAAAAAACATGACAATATCAAGTAATCCAAAGTAATCAGATTACGTTACTCACTTTAAGTAATTTAATGGATTACGTTACAAACTACATTTTGGGGTGTGTAATCTGTAATCTGTAGGGGATTACATTTTAAAAGTAACCTTCCCAACACTGCCTGCAGGCACATATGAAGAAGTACCCACCAGCATTCTGACCAGAACTGAATAAGCAGCTTGGATGAGCTATGAAACGTATTCGACCAAATAAACTTTTATCCAGTTGACAAATTGAATTTCTCCTTTGCCATGGATTCTACCTGGACTGAGGGATTTTTCACACGCTTGGGAAGATAGTGTAATCTCTGAGCGTATGTCTGATAAGGTTAAACAAGGAGCACGATGAATGAGCTAAAAGTGAAAAACTGACTTCCACTCCCACCTCAGAGGTCCCAAAGTATTGCAACTAAGTTACTTCCTTGAGGCAGTAACTAACTACTACATTTTACAACAAGAAACAAGTAATGTGCTACTTTTTCAAAGTAACTTCCTCAATGCAGGATGTGAGACCACTTCACAAGGATGCTACAGATTAAGGATGAAAAATTGTTGTTTGAACTAGGGCTGAACTAGGGATCAATTGCAATCAAATCAAAATCATAATTTCAATGGATTCAATTAGCAAATTGCAAGGGCTGACATTTTTGTAGTACCAACAAACAAATATCCTGTCTTATTCTGCATAAAAACTTTTATTTTTCTAATGTCAGTAGCACAACTGGATTTGTACTGGTTTGTACTCAGACAACTGGTGCATGTACATTACACACTCTAATTTCACTAAGAGAGGGATTCAACTGCACTGTGCAAAAGAAAACATCCAGAAATCTAGTGGATACTTTAAAAATCTATCCTGATTCCCAGTAATTTTGACCTGCTAGGTGCTTGTCTCACAAATTCTCTGAAGAATTCAGACTATAATTGGACCCCAATCATAGTCTGAGTAGTTGTCTGTGTAAATATATTATATAGTTGTTGTGATCTGTGGCAGCTCCTGGACCAGAACTGGGACCAGAGTCAAGACCAGAGCCTGGAGCAGAGCAGGGAGCAGAACCAGGAGCAGTCTGGAGCGTATGTGGCAGCCCGCCTAGATGCTTTGCCTCCAATCTTCACTCTGGGGGACAAGCATGTCTACAGCAGCTTCTACAATCGTCCCCTTAGAGCACAGCAGCAGTACCGGTGCTTTGTGCTGGCGGAGCTGGAACAGTCTCAGTGTGTGAGTTAAAGGCAGTCTGGCATAAATCTAATTCAACAGCAGAAAGCATAATAACAGACTTCTGTCTGCACTGTCAAAACACAATGCCCATCAGGGGGCACCACATGTGTGGCACTAGTGGATCTTTGTGCATGCTGCAACAGATGGGCTTTGTGTGTTCTCTCTTAGAGGACCCTATCGGCCAGCCCCTTCTCTGAGCTGCTCATCCAAGAGGACAGCCAGGGGGAAGATATCCCGGGTCAGGTGGCCCTCTCTCCAGACGAGGCCCACATGTTGTGGGTCATGGGGCCAGTGTTTTCAGTCATCCTCATCATTCTCACAGTCATCGCCATCTTAGTCTTCAAAAGGTCTGTTCCTCACTGCACATGAAAGACTACTCTCAGACAGTTTGACGCTCACCAAACCAGCTTTAACTTTGTACCTCCTGCATTTGAATATCCACACTGATGAATAAAAACATAAGGCACCCAGCCGGAGAACAGGCAGGTTTAATATGCCCTCGTCTATTATAATGACTCCTATTATACCTTTTTAGGCTTAACATTGTGTTTAAATGTAGTGGTTGATGTTATGGGAGAATGCTCTTCCTACTGTTAAGACCAAACTTCCAAAATCCTTGACACACAGGGGCTCCTAATAGTTGCAGATATATGTTTTTATTCAGTCCTCATGTGTCAGATTTGTAACACAAACAGTTGCAGTGTTCTTATCACCATGGGGAGCAGAGCTTTCAGCCACTCCTCTCCTCAGCTCTGGAACACCCACCCTCCTGACCTCTACAACACCACCTCACTCAAATCCAAACTCAAAATTCATCTGTTTTGACTGGCCTTTTCACTCCAACAGACCATAGTTGCTCTGTCCCACTTTAACTGAATGCTTTAAATTGTATGTTTTTTACTGTATATTTAAATATGTTTTTGTATTTGTTTATTGTTGTCAGACGGCCTTGAGTGTCTACATGCTCCTAATACTTAAAAAAAAAAAAAAGATTATTCTGTGGGTTCAGAGGTGTTCCCAGTTAATGACAGCTCTCTTCTTGTCTTTGCGTTGTGTTTGTGGATGTAGTCGGCAGGAGAGGTGAGTGCTTTCTCTCTGTCCACTGCAGTCCTTCTGCCCCAAACTCACCCCAGTGCATTCTGGTCCCCAGGAAGCGGACATGTCCCTCACCGAAAGAGGAGCCCCTTGGCCGACTCAACAAGTCTGTGCAGGCTTCCTATTCTGACCCCGTGGAGATGAGGAGAGTGCACCACCCCACACCAGGCAGGCCCGCACACCAGGCACCCACCTTTCATGCCCCCTTAAGCCCCCACCCCCACATCTGGCAGGCCCCCCACCCATGTGATTTGTTTTCTTCACATGCCATCTGTCTGTGGTCTTGTGCAGGGATACTAGAGCACCCTCCAATTCCTCTGAGTGACCTGGCAGAACATATAAAACGGCTCAAGGCCAATGACAACCTCCTGTTCTGTCAGGAGTATGAGGTAAGACTGAACTGCACAAGCACTCATATGAAAGGAACTGCAGAGAGAGGACGCATACACTTTTCTCATTCTCAGTATATGGATACATACTGCAGCAAGAGTAACGTTGCATCAGAATAATATTACTCAAGTAGAAGTAGAAAGTAGTGGTTTTTGTATTAGTATATGGGAAAAGTACTACTCAAGTGAGAATAACGGTTGGGGCATAACATCTAATTTATAATTTGAAGTTATTATAGTTGGAAGGACAAAAATAATGCACAAAATCTGATATTTTGAAAGGATAAACACAAAAATTTGTCAAACTAAATCATATCTGAAGGAGCAGTACAAGAAACACAGATGTTCAAATCATATTGTCAATCTCATGCCAGTGTCACTTGTAGACTTGTTTACTCACAGGGTGGAGAGAAACCAAGATTACTCAAGTAAGATTATTGTTACATCATTAAAAATATTACTCAAGCTGAAGTAAAATTATGCTGCTAGAAAAGTACTCTGAAAAGTACAATTTTTCATTAGAAATATTAAGAATACTCAAGTAAATGTAACCAAGTAAAAGTACTACCTCAGGACGCTGATTAATGATCTGGGGATTTAGGTAGTGAGGATTCAGATCAGAGAGTCCTTTTAGGTTTAAGACAACTGAATTTCAGCATTGGAACTGGCAACCCAAACATGGCACTCATGTGAGGTTAATGCTGCTTTTTGCTTGGAAAATCATCTTGAGAACCAAAACACCAAATTATACTGTACATAAACAACTTGGCATCATGGCTAATGTTTTTGTAATAAAGAATAAATCAACATTAAAGTTAGGCATGCACTGATTCAAATTTTTTAATTCCGATATAGATTTTGCTAATATGGCTTGAAGAATCTCAATGCCTGATATGAACCAATACCAAAAACTACAGAATAAAAAGAAAACAAAGTTTTTCTAAAGCTTGTCTAAGTTTGTCTCAGAAAAAACTTATATACTGCTTAAATAAAAGTTCAAACATTATGAGACATTCTGGGCTAACTACAACCAGTAAATAGTCTAATTACATTGATTTATATGTCAAACCAGGATATATCAGCTGAGTCGATATTTGGAGGCCGATATCAGAGCCAGCTAATCTTGATCAGGGCCAATATCCAATACCAGTATTGGATCGGTGCATCCCTTATTACAGTTGTTATCAGTAAACACAACATTTGATTTGAACATGTGCCTTGAGTCTGGGACACAGGTAGGTCAAGTTTATGAAATTTAAAATCAAAATCTTACATACATTTCTTTTAAAACTAAAATATGACATCATTATTAGTGTTGTCAATTGATTCCTAAACTATATCTACTATGCATTTCTGTTGAAAAAAATGAATTCTTCTCAGTCTATTGACCCGGGTCAGCATTTCACCTGGCAGCACTCCAGCATGGACGTCAACAAGCCCAAGAACCGCTATGCCAACGTGATTGCCTACGACCACACCAGAGTGGTCCTCAGCAGTGTGGACGGTGAGACAGCTCCAAAGCCCTCACTATATACAGCCCAATACAAATCTCAAAAAGGTCTTATATTACACTAAATTGACTGTTCGCTCACTGGGCAATGTGGCTATTCAGTTTGTTTGCTTTTCCAGAATTAATTACCTTATTTTTTGAATGTGTTAGATTTTGAAAAGTATAATGCATGTTTTAGTTAAATTATCTTATAATTATTGTTAACAGGATTTGTTATGGTAAATACTACTATGCATTGTACAAAAACAGACAGTCAGCAGAACAAAATAAGCTTTCTACCATTCTACCAACAATCTCTCCTGGGCCCTATTCAAATTGTCTTTACAGTTAGCTGTAAGATTAGTCAAAAGCTCTGCCCACAATAGGGATGCGCGGATTGCGGTTACAACCGCGGTATCCGCGGTTAATCCGCGGGTCGGGCGGATGACGTGACGAAAAATTATATTTTAATTAAATTCGGGCGAGTGGCGGTTTAACTATTAAAAAAAAAAAAAGTTATTGTTAGTATTGTTACGTACATCTGAAAAGACGAGTCTCATTGTCTATGCTTGTAGTATGAAGTGTACATCATATCCTTAACTAGCCCATTTGACCTCGTTTTTATGTTCTGAAGGTTCAGGTTGTGTCGGGTTATTGATGCCTAAGGTTTACCAGGCACATATTATATGCAGTTTATTTTATTATTTCTAATTTATTTCAGCTGTTTGCCAACACGTAAGTGGCTATAGGGCCATATTTATTTAGTTATGCTTTTTTTTTTGTTTCGATATCAGATATATTTTAAAACACGCAGAAATTATAGCGTAGACTGCCACTCGGGGTATTTAAAACTTAAAGAAAGACCGATGGAGTGAGGCTATGACTTTGAAACAACATCGGGCAATGGCAGAATGTTCAGAATGTAACAACATCCAACACGAAGGCAAGAAGGTTCAAAAACAGCCTAGTCGGAAAACGTTGTCAGTTAATTAGCTGCCCAAGAAAACCAGGTATGTTTGGGGTTGTTGCGGACAATTAAGAATGCGAACATACAGCGAATTTTGGAATGAATGAGCTATAGAGTTTGCATTTTTATCGAGGCTCCTTAGTTTGTTTGCTGTATGATTGTTCTAAAATCTAAAATCAATCGGCGGATGGCGGGCGGGTGCGGTTTTGAAAACCTTCGGTGCAAAATGGATAGCAGGCGGATGATGAGTTTTGTGTTGCGGTTGCGGATGAAAAAATAGCCCATCCGTGCATCTCTAGCCCACAAGTCTACATCACCCATGCTTAGACAACTACAATTCTCCATAAATATACACAAGCATGATACAAAACTGTACACAATAACTTGACAAACCTGATACGATGTGCAGTAGTTCCTTGGCAAAACGTACGCCAGTTCAAATATGATGCCACTGTGAAGGGGGAGTGACTTTTGACTCATGAGAGTAAAATTTCAGGTACATGTTTATGTGCTGTTTTTGGTGAATTTAGTATATTCAAAACAATAAAAGGTAAGATGGTGATCTAAATATGTTATGTGGGGTATTAAGTAAAATAGCCCCTCTTTAAATGTCTGAAAATATGTAAAATAAATAAGTGTCTGTGTGTGCTGCAGGGGTCCTGGGCAGTGACTACATCAATGCTAACTACATAGATGGCTACAGGAAGCAGAAGGCATACATCGCCACACAAGGGCCACTGCCGGAGACGCTGGGGGGAATTCTGGAGGATGGTGTGGGAACAGAACGTCTGTACCATCGTTATGATGACGCGCCTAGAAGAGAACTCTCGAGTGAGAATTTGAATGTGCAAATGTAAAATAAAATAAATACTCAATAATGATATTTCTAATTAGAATGGTAGATATTCATGTTTTTATAAAGTACTTTCTTTGCACCTTCAAAGCACATTAGAAACACACACACTCATAAACCAGTGTACACAGACACATATGGGATGAGGAAGGTTAACTGTGTTTAATCTATGGGAGCTGGTCAAGAGCGGGATTTGAACCACCAAGCCTCGGATCAGTGGACAAGCAGTCTACCAACTGAGCTACTGTCACCCATATTAAAATACAATTATAAATAAGTAAATGACACTCCATTGGCTCTAGGCTGTATTTAAAGAACATGACTGAGAGGTGTATCAGGTGGCACTATATCCAATGTTGCTACTAAACTAAAATAATAATATATGTTTTTATCATTCATACACACATATATCACATACATTTGAACGTTACATTTCTGAAAACAGCTTGTAATGAGTTGACTTGAAATTATACAAATAATTAACTCTCTTTAGTCCATCTTTTTTTCAACCTTTTTTTAAAAGTCTTGATTGCACATTGGGTGAAAGACTAGTAGTAAAACACTTCACAGTTTTTTCAGAGCAAACACATATCCACATAAAACTCACTTGAGATCATATAGTGATGTAGTGTGTTTTTCTTTCCTAAATCTTCCTCTTTGCTTTTTGGCAACAGATCCGGTGTGAGCAGTACTGGCCGAGCCGTGGCACACACACCTACGGCATCATTCGAGTGAGCACCGTGGACACAATGGAACTGGCCAGTTACACTCTGCGCAACTTTATCCTCCACAAGGTAGGGCTACGGTGTCACATCATGGGGGCATCAACATGACTAGGCTAGATTCGTCATCACAGCGTTCTCAAAATGCAGATGTTTTGACATGGTTTATGACAGTGGTCATTCCAAATAAAAATTAAAGCCACCCACCGCCTCCCACGCGACTTGCGGCCGCCCCGGCATGCCAGCCTCTCTTCCTGACAGCTGCCCAGACCAACAGCTCATCCATTACAAAAATTACATAATACACCTTTAAATGTTTCTGAGGAGTCATTGCTCCCCTGCTGGCCAACCGTGAAAATATCCATAATATACTTTTTTGCTCACAATCACAGATAGAATTTAATCCATGAATTTGGTACAAGTTAGATAATGTTGACGTTTCATGTCTATGCTAGGAGGCGCTATAGTGTTCACTTTTCATTTGCTTTATAGTGTATTATAATCAAACCAAAATTGGGCATTAGTGATTCAAAGTTCAACAACTTCGGACTAAGCCTGCATTTGTAATCATTTCTGTGCGCCCCTGCTGGTCAACAGTGGAAAATGCCCCATGTCTGTAATATATTTTTTTGCTTGTAATCATGCATGGAATTTAATCCCTGAATTTGGTACAAATCTAAATCTGCTAACTTTAACATTTCATGTCTATGTTAGGGGGAACTATAGTGTTCACTTTTTATGTTTTATAATGTGTTATATTCAGGCTGAGATGACGCATTAGCAATTCAAATTTCAGCACGATCGGACTAAGCATGTGCGTGTAATATATTTTTTAACTATTTTTGAGGGGAGTCTTTGCGCCCCTGCTGGCCAACTGTGAAAAATGCACCATATCCATCATAGACTTTTTTTGCTTGTAAACATGCATAGAATTTACTCCCCGAATTTGGATCAAACATCACCATGAAATATCAAACATTTCCTCAAACTCTTTTTAAACAATGCCTCTGATCTGCCGTCACTAACCAGATGTGAAAACTGGCTCCAGAATTTACAGCCTCTGTATCATAGGCAAAACTGAGCTCTTGATGTGACAAATTTTAGAACATGAAAATTATGAATTTAACGAGTTTTGTATCTATGAATCTCTGCATTGGTTTTAAAATAAAATGTGAAATGTTTAGGAATCGTTGTTGAATTGTAAAGAATTTTATACATAAAAGTACAAATTTGATAAATATTAATCTCATAAATATTAAGAATATTAAGTTTGGTGAATAAATGAACAGACGATGTTAGTGGCATAGAATGAGTTGCAATTCGAACAAAATGTTTTTGCACCAATAATATTTTGTTCAGAGTAGTAGAGAAAGTGCAGACCAGACTATATTACAATATGACAGATATGGATAAATTAAACTATAGTATACTATACACTACTACTATATATACTACAGCGTCAGCGTCGAAATGAAAACTTTGCAACGGTTTATGTGGAGTTAACGGTCAGTGGAACGGCGTCACTCCCGACAGAATTTAGATGAGCCATTGGCCTGGCCGCCGCAGCGTGCTCCGCTCAATGTACAACAAAAGGACAATGTGACCACTTAAAACGCGAATAAAACGATCACACAACTTTGCCACTACTCACTATAGTATAGTATACTATAGTATACTATAGTTTAATTAGTTTAATAATGTAAGTATAGAAATTTACAAACTTTTCTTATAATACTAAGAGATTTGTTAATTTTTCTGGTCACCCAGTCAACATGCTCTTTCCAGTTTAGATTATCATCAATAATGACGCCCAGAAATTTGGTGGATGAGACACGAGTTAATTCATTTGAATCGATTTTGATTTTAGGGTTAGTTGGAAATGATTTTTTGCCACAAAAAATCATATAATTAGTTTTTTTGACATTCAGAGATAATTTGTTAATTTTGAACCATTTGTTATAAACAGATAAAGCAACATTAATTTGGTTTATTAGAACATTAAAGCTTGAATTGGATATAAATAAAGTTGTATCATCAGCAAACATTATTGGGGTAAGATCTTGAGATATATAACATAAGTCATTTATGTACAATAAAAATAATAAAGGACCTAATATGGAGCCCTGAGGAACTCCACACTGTAAATCAGCTTTATCAGAATTGCAACCATTAATATAAACAAACTGAGATCTATTACAAATATAATTCTGTAGCCACTTAAAAACAGTTTTATGAAAACCATATTTATATAACTTTGCCAGTAAAATTGTGTGATTGAGTATATCAAAAGCTTTTAACAAGTCCAAAAAATTACTACAAATAAATTGATTGTTTTCTAATGCCAACGTTACCTGATCAAATAATTTAAGTAAAGCCATATAAGTACTGTGATTTTTACGGAAGCCATATTGATACTTATAGAGAATTGAATTATTATTTATATGAGAAAATAACCTTTTATAAACAACTTTTTCTAATACTTTTGAAAAGCAAGGTAAAACAGATATGGGTCTATAGTTATTGAAACAGGCTCTATCCTCTGCCTTATATAAGGGAATGACCTTGGCTACCTTGAGGTCCTCTGGTACAGCACCTGTGTTTAAAGACAGTGAAATAATGTAAGTAAGTGGCTTCAAAATGTAATGTTTAATTTGCTTTACAAGAAAGGCAGAAATGACATCATGTCCAGCAGAGGATGGTTTTAATTCATCAATGATTTTACTTATTTTATTGATATCGGGAGGCTGAAAGGACATAATTTCAGGATAGCTGGATTGAATGTATTCCAAAGGATCTTCATTAGAGGTTGAAATATTCTTTACTAATTCTAAACCAGAATGAACAAAAAATGTGTTAAATTTCTGTGCTATCTCGGCAGGAGTTTCATACGTAGTTGCACCATCCACAAAGACTGAAGGTAAACTGCTGTTTGTGGATGTAACATTCTTTTGTACTAGTTGGTTGATAACCTTCCAAGTACCTTTAATATTATTTGAGGCCTTGTTTATTTGGCCAAAGTAAGACTTCTTTCTTGCAGACCTTAATGAATGGACATAGATGTTTCTGTATTTTTTATAAGTATGAAAAGTAAGAGGAGTTGGATTAGATACATACTTTTTATAAAGTTTGTTTTTCTTCCTAAACATTCTCAACAAATCTGATGTAAACCAAGGATTATTAAGTCTCTGACTTTGATTTTCTCTAATTTTTTTTAACAGGAAAGGAATCACAAAAATTTATTTTGATTTGCTGCATGAAATACTTGTATGCATCATCCACATTTGTCTCTAAATACAGTTTATCCCAAGAAATATAGCTTATCTTGATTTTAAACTTTTCTATATTATGTTTGCTCATATTCCTCATTGATATTATTTTATTTTCATAATGAATACTCTTTACCTTGAGTGAGCAGTATTGGAATATAGGAAAGTGATCTGACAAATCTGAGTAAATAATCCCAGATTTATTTTCATGATTTAAATTGTTTTTAATTATATTATCAATCAAAGTTGAAGTCTTATCATTAACTCTTGTTGGTTTATTAATTAATGGGAAAAATAACTTGAGAAAAGAGTATTAATAAATTCATCAGTATATGAAAATGTTTTGTCTTTCAAAATATTTATGTTGAAATCTCCTAAAATATAGCAAAGCTTGTTTTCAGAATTTAGTGACTCTAAAGTTTTACATAAACTTTCAATAAAATCTTTAATGCCAAAATCTGGTGGACGGTAAATAACTCCAACAATTACATTTTTCCCCTCACAACCAGAAAGTTCCACAAACAGTGACTCTATTTCCCCTTTATCAGAAGTATGTCTTAGGTCGTTCCTTAGTTTGAATTCACAATTGTTCTGAGTGAAGAGAGAAACACCGCCACTACTCTATTATTTCTTACAAAATGACATGATTGATAATTAGTCAACTTAAAAAAATCACATGTATCTTCGGTGAGCCATGTTTCTGATAAGGCAATAACAGTAAACATATATTTTAAAGAGTAAAGGAAATGGGTGAATTCATCGTAATGTTTAGACAAACTTCGTATATTTAAATGAAAAGTTGAAAACACATTAGGCAGCATTTAAAAAAAAAAAAAGTTAAATTCCTTTACACTATAATAATTACACAGATTAGAATCATTATAATTGAAAAAAAGTGTACACCAGGGTCAATTTCACAGCCATACAAATCAGTAGAATCAAGAGGTTTGTTAGCAAAAATAGGGCTGTTAGCCATAGGAAAAATGGTGATAAAACGATTAAAGATTACAGAGAACAGTGCAAAACATTATCCTCTGTTTGAAGGACATATCACAATAAACCTTAAGCATTAGAATTAGCTCGGTGAGGTAAATTTCGAGGTGGGTGAACAATCAGTTTATCATATTTTAAATAAGCTACATCACCTCTTTCACGGGCTGCTTTCAGAGCTGGGAGAAGTTCTTTCCTTTTCTGCCAGATAGCTTCTGGAAAATCCTCATTAATGAAGATCCCTGAGCCTTTCAGCCTCTTGGCCCGTTCCAGTACAGCCATTTTGTCCTTCAGTCTCAGAAATCTCACCACAACAGGACGAGGTCTCTCTGAGTTTCCAGGCACAGGCTTCCCAGCTCTATGAACCCGGTCCAGTTCAATTTTAAGATGATCTAGTTGTAGTTTCTCCATAAAGAGTTTTCTCACTTTGTCTTCACATTCACTCACATTTTCTTTTCCAGACTCCTTGATGCCCTCAATAACAATATTGTTGCATTTAGCTTGACCTTCCAAAAGCTCTGTCTTATTAGAAAGTGCGAAGAGACTTTTGCAGATTGTGTCCAGATCAAATCTGATTTCATTGCAGTTCTTTGACAAAGCAGAGTATGAAGCTTTGTAATCATCAAATTCCTTTTGAGTCATTTCTAGACTTTGTTTAAAATCATATATTTGCATTGTCAGATCATCAGTTCTCTTGTTTGATGAATCCACAAACACTTGAAGACATGTTTTAAAACTCCTTTCTTGCTATTCCAGTAGAGTTTTATAAAAATCTTTTTGCTGATCCAACAATTCACGCACCTGAGATGTGGTGACATAATCCTCTGTGTTGTGGGTAGCCTTTGGTGGCATGGTGGAGGTAACAGAGGCCTACAAAGGCCCAAGCCTCTCTTAAACAAAGACAATAAGTGTCACTTGGAATTCAGGCAAAAGAGTTTTAAAATATTGCTCCCTAAGTTCTTTAGAGTCCAAAGTGTTGAAAAAATGCAGTATTTTTACCAAGGGAGTAGCATCTGCTCCTCTGCTACTGCTGCTGCAGTTTAAAATGGTTAAAGATAAGCAGAAAGTTACAACGTTTTATAGTGTATTATATTCAGGCTGAGATCACGCATTAGTAATTCAAATTTCAGCACGATCAGATTAAACATGGGCAAGTAATAACATTTTTTACAATTTTTTTGGTGGAGTCTTTGCGCCCCTGCTGGCGAATGGTCGAAAATGCATCATGTCTGTAATAGACATATTTGCATGTAATCATGCATAGAATTTAATTGCCAAATTTGATCCAAAGGGGGCGCTACAGAGTTCACTTTTATTAGATTTTATATTTTATTACATTCAGGCCTGGATCATACAATGGTGTTTGAATTTGAGTTCTCTAGGACAATGCCTGTGGCCGTGAGAAGTCTTCAAAAATACAGGAAATGAAGGCGTTTTTTGCCAGTGTGCTACGGACAAACCGTAAGGAGTGTCCCAAAACCTCCTGATAATTTTTGTTAGTTTAGGCCTGTAGATGTGACATGTCAAATCTGATGTTATTTGGACCAAACCCCGGGGACTTGAATTTTTTTGCACACACCCAAGTCAAAACGGCGGTGAGTGTTTGATCCAATATGGCCAATTTCCTGTTATCATATCATATCATCATAGAGGCTCCAATTCATCTTTTGGCTTGTCTCATTGTTCTCTATCACTGTCCCGAATTTCATTTCCCTGCGACAAACTTTGCCTGTCCCCACTCCAGGCGGCACTGTTGACTTGGGTCACTTCGGTCATCGTCGCGGTCATTTTATCAAATTTTTCGCCTTACCAGTCGATCTGATACCCAGGTGTGGGACTTTTTGATGACATTCAGGGGTCAAAAATGCAATCATTTGGTCGGAAGAAGAATAATAAAAAGAAACCCACGAAGAACAATAGCCCTCGCTGTTAACTTCGTTAATACCATGATTCATATTTGTTGTCCTAGTCCCAAACAGAAAATGATAAGGTTTAGCATAAGTGGATTTCCTGTTTCATTCTCATCTAATTAATTCTAATTTAATATGAAAATGTTGTAATCACTTTCTTTAGCAACAAAAACAATTCAACATTTACAAATACAGAAGATGATGCATTTCCATAGGCCTGTACTACAAACTTGTCTGAACTTGTCCCAGATATGAGAGTCTCTGCATAAGTGATACTATCACTGTTGGGCAAGTTACTTTAAAACTGTAATGCGTTATTTATTACTTATTACTGTCATTTCAAAGTAATTCATTACATTACAATATTACTGCATTTAAAATGTAAGGCATTACATTACTATTGCATTACTTTAAGTTACTCTCACCAAAATAACTGCGAAAAAGCTGAACTTTTGAGCCGTATATGGACTGAACCAGGATTAAACAAGGACTAAACCAGGACTAAACCAGAGCTGAACCAGGACTAAACCAGGAGTATAACAGGACTAACCTCAGACTGATTCCAGGACTGAAGAGGAGGACTAAACCAGAACTGAACTAGGACTAAAACAGGACTCACTGTCGGGACGGGCTCGAAGGTGACCGCAGGAGAAAGGAGCGGCTCTGCTCCGCACCTCATGGAGGTAAGAGCGGCTGTCGCCCGATCGCGCTTTATGGACACCCTGCTGCGCGGGCTCGCGGTCCTGATTTCAGCAACTATTTGCGGGTACAAGACCCGGTGCAAAACTCTGCTACAGCGCGTAACTTCTACCTTCCTTCAACGTGTCCAGAAGTCCAACTTTTTGTGCGATGGTTTGCATCGTCCTCTGTCTTTTGGGTGTGAGCGCAGGAGACTTTGTCGGTGCAGAACATTTCCTCGACGTTGTGGATTTTGTGGATGCTTGCAACCATGCAGCACTTCAGAAGCACACTGCTAGAGATTACAGTACAGTAGACAGGAGTCCCTTAGCCGATCAGGACACAGCGGGAGGAACGCAATACGTGTTCATACACTAAAAACAAAAGGCATGCAAAATTGCACAAAAAAAAAAAAAATTCTAAAAATCAGCGAAACAGCGAGACCGCGAAAAGTGAATCGCGTTAGAGCGAGGGACGACTGTAAGCCAGGTCTAAACCAGAAGTGACCCAGGTCTAAACCAGGTCTAAACAGCGTAGAGTTCTGGGTCGGTCCTTTCACCCGCGGTTAACTGAAGGTCTATCCGGCCGCGTCTAAGGCGTTTCACCGCTGCTGATTTCACGGTGATTTTAGCGAATTTCTATGAAGAAAAACCGACCACTTCAATCCAGGTTAAAAAAGCATTGTAACGCGCGTTACTCACATTTGTACCGAGTAAAATATTACAATTTTCCCCCCTGTAATGCCTTACATTACTGCGTTACAGCAAAAATCAACGCATTACTGTAATACATTACTTTTATAATACATTACTCCCAACACTGGATACTATGAAATAAGAAAGAAGCTGTGCCTGTTCAGTGAACCGGGGACAGGGTCAACACCAACGAAATTAGTACAGTGGAGAAGGGGAAAGCAGTGTACTTCAAAGAAGGGGAACTGTCAACATAACCCCTAAATATACAATGATTCAACAAATGTAAAAAAGTACAAACCAAAGGAACCCAGTGTGATGTGAGCTCCTACTGACCAATCACAACCAAAAGTAACAACACAAAGAAACTTGAATGTAATGTAATCGTTTATGGCTAAAGCAGGCTAATGTACAAATGTGCCAAAGTCATGACATATCATACAGTGCCATGGACTGAATGAAAGGTGCTTTTGTCTCAGTGCCAGATTTATAGCCTCATACAATGTGCATAAAAGTGGTACATCCTCTACAGATTTAATAGTGTTGAATAATGTGTTTAATGTAATATAGTATGATTAAACAAGTTGCATGTGTGCATCTGTAATTTTAAAAGATTACTATGCATTTCAGATCTCCCCCCTTTCTCTCCATACACCGATTGGCTGTAAGTTAATGGAATTTCACCATAGAGATCTACCCCGATAAGAACAGATCCAGGTTCATAGTATAGCTAAACCAGTGTTAACCCCAAAGTTACCATAGTAACCCCGTAATCCACCCTGTACAGGCCTCATGTGTTTGTACTGAATGTCTAGAATGGCTGCAGTATGAAAAGAGAGGTACGACAGTTCCAGTTTGTGGCCTGGCCCAACCATGGGGTGCCCCAGTATCCCACTCAAATGCTGGGCTTCCTGCGCAGGGTGCGAGCATGGATGCCTCCAGACGGTGGGCCTATAGTGGTGCACTGCAGGTAAGAACTCTACACTGCTACATGCAGCTCAGTAGAGAACGGGGTAAAACCTGTTTTGTACCAGGGAAAAAAACACATGATCATACTACAGCCTCTCCATACTGACTCACAGTCATTAGATGTACTGTTTACTTGTGCATTGTGTCAATATCTCCATGTAGTGTACCATCTCTGTTTCTCACTGGTAAAGGGAGCATGTTTTAAAATTACTTGGATACAAACAATGATAAAAAATTGTTTTATTTTTTTTCTTGTGATAGAATCTTACATTCAAAATTATTTACCATTTGAATGTCTGTATTCCTTTTGGGCATTACCAAGCCCTCTGATAATGTACCTGTGTGTCTCTAGTGCTGGAGTGGGCCGAACCGGGTGCTTCATTACTATGGATGCCATGTTGGAGAGGATGAAGCACCAACAGTCTGTGGACATGTATGGTCATGTAACATGTATGCGCGCTCAGAGAAACTACATGGTCCAGACAGAAGAGCAGTATGTTTTTATTCATGACGCTGTGCTGGAGGCTGTCATCTGTGGCCACACAGAGGTGCCGGCACACTGCCTCCACACACACGTGCACCAGCTAAGTCAGCCAGCACCTGGTCACACCTGCAGCATCATGCAGCTGGAGTTCAAGGTCAGTACTGACCAAAGACAAAGTCAAATAAATAAGATTTGTGAAGCAGGACAACACATTTAAAACTGCTATTTAAGTACACATATATATTGTTATTTTACATTAATCATGTCAAGACAGTAATCCAATGCAGAATGTGCTCCTTTAATTTGTGGCCCAAAACCGTGGAACTGATTTTCAACTGTCCTAATTCTACATCTCAGCAACAAGCAGTAACCTCGCCAACAAGATGAAATCTTGCAATATTTGTGAGTTCACAAATTCAGAAGGTTCCTACCTCTGTAATATGGCATACATGAGGAATAAATTCTGTCAAACTGCCCAGCGCCTCAGGAGGGGGGAGCAGTGCTTCACCAACACTGTTTACAGTGCGGGGAAAGAGGTGTTGACCTTCAAAGGGGATGTTGTTGGGTGGTGGAAATGGAATACTCTGAAGATCTCCTCAATCCCACCATCACGTCTTCTGAGGAGGAAGCCGAGGCTGGGGACTCGGAGGTGGACTCGTCCATCTCCCTGGCTGAAGTCACTGGGGTGGCTGGCAAGCTCCTTGGTGGCAAAGCTGTGGGGTGGATGAGATCCGAGTATCTTAAGTCTTTGGATGTTGTGGGGCTGTCTTGGCTGACACGTCTCTGTAACATCACACGGCGGTCGGGGACAGTGCCTCTGGACTGGTAGACCGGGGTGGTTGTCCCTCTGTATAAGAAGGGGGACCGGAGGGTGTGTTCCAATTACAGGGGAATCACACTCCTCAGCCTCCCCGATAAGGTCTATTCCAGGGTACTGGAGAGGAAAATCCGGCCGATAGTTGAACCTCGGTGCATGTTGGACCTCGCCAGGGCTTCCCTTTGTCACCGGTTCTGTTCATTGTATTTATGGACAGAATTTCCAGGCGCAGTCAGGGGCCAGAGGGGGTTTGGGGACCACAGGATCTCGTCTCTTCTGTTCGCAGATGATGTTGTCTTGTTGGCTTCATCAGACCAGGACCTGCAATGTGCATTGGGGCAGTTTGCAGCCGAGTGTGAAGCGGTTGGGATGAGGATCAGCTCTTCCAAGTCCGAGGCCATGGTTTTTGACCAGAAAAAGGTGGCTTGCTCTCTTCGGGTGGGTGAAGAGTCCCTGACTCAAGTGGAGGGGTTCAAGTATCTCGGGGTCTTGTTCACGAGTGACAGGAGGATGTAGCGTAAGATTGACAGGCAGATCAGTGCACCATCAGCAGTGATGCAGTCGCTGTATGTTGTGGTGAAGAGGGAGCTGAGTTGAAAGGTGAAGCTCTCGATTTACCGGTCAATCTTTGTTCCTACCCTCACCTATGGTCATGAGCTCTGGGTAGTGACCGAAATGACGAGATTGCGTATATAAGCAGTCGAAATGAGTTTTCTCGACAGGGTGGCTGGGCGCTCCCTTAGGGATAGGGTGAGGAGCTCAGTCACACAGGAGGAGCTCGGAGTAGAGCCACTGCTCCTCCACGTCGAGAGGAGCCAGTTGAGGTGGCTCGAGCATCTGTCCCGGATGACTCCTGGGTGTCTTCCTCGAGAGGTGTTCTGGGCACGTCCCACCGGAAGGAGACCCAGGACACGCTGGAGGGACTATGTCTCTCAACTGGCCTGGGAACACCTCGGAGTCCCTCCAAAGAAGCTGGAGGACATGTCTGGGGTGAAGGAAGTCTGGGAGACCCTGCTAGACTGCTGCCCCCACGACCTGGCCCCGGATAAGTGGAAAAAAATTGATGGATGGATGAACTTAACTTAAACTTTATTGTCCATCACAGTGGACTCAATTACATCAACAATTGAGTATGCCTAGTGAGGGCCAACCATTAGAACACGATTAAAAGCTTATAAAAATCCTTTTTGTATAAAATGTCATTAGCCTATTCATTTATAATGACAAAAAGTAAGCCACTTAAATGGTAAATGGTCACATTTTTATATAGCACTTTCCCACCTTCAAGGCTCTCAAACTGCTTTGCAACAAGAAACCACTCCACCCATTCACCCATACTCTCATACACCAGTGTATGCAGACACTGGGGACGAGGTGGGTTAAGTGTCTTGCCTAAGGACACAACGACAGCATTCATCCATGGGAGCTGTAATTGCACTGCCAACCAGTGGGTCAGTGGATCTGACAGCACATTCAATGATGTTTTATGTCAAGAGCGGGATTCACAACTGCCAAGCTTATTAATTTTAAATTGTAATAGCGGTCCAAACTTATTTCTCACTTTAAAGGCATTCCCAGATTCCTGATTAATGACAACAAACTATATGAAAGTTTCCAAAATGTTTGAAAACATCTAGTTTCCATGCTCCATAATCAGACACAGACAGCTCACAGCAGTCTGATTTTGACCTTACGAGCTGCTTTTACCTGTTGAATGTAAAATGTTACTTACTTATAGGGCTGGGCAATTAATACAATGAATTCAATTAATGCAAGTTTTTAAAATTTGAGCTTTGCAAAGCAGGATTATTGTGCAAATAGTAACTCCCATTGTAAAAAAAATATCATTCTTATTTAAACAATTAAAATCAGATTATATATCTATACAAGTGTAAATGGAAGCAGTTTATAATTTCTTAAATAATGGAGTATAGAGCTTCCCCTGTTGGAAAGATAAGCAGTCAAATCAAATTTTATTTATTGGCCAAATTTATACATTAATAGAAAAAAACAAAACAACTGGATACAGTTTCTTAAGAAGGGGATATTATGTAATTAAATATGTTATGTATTAGCAGTTAATACCCTAAAGAAGTAAAAAGTCCCCTCTTTAAGCACAACACAATTGAAAGTCACATTTCTGCCACCCTCGGTCTTGTTTCTTTTATTTGTGTTCTCAGAAGCTGTACAGCTGTACAGTAGACCCCTCCACATGTATTAGTGCCAGTTTGCTGTGCAACAAATCCAAAAAACATCTGCTAACCATCCTGCCATTTGAGGTCAGCCGCATGAGTCTGCAGCCTCTCAGAGGAGTGCAGAGCTCGGACGACATCAATGCCAGCTTCATCGATGGATACAGGTCCAACCACACGATCACATATCCACATCGGACCAACACACCATTTCATTATTATTTATTCATTAAAACAGTGGGGGGAAAGGAAAGACTGTAGGACTTTGAATAATTCTGAAGCAAGAGAAACAAAGAGACAGATAATAATTTCTTCAGTAAATTTTTGTCTATTATTGGTCATACATTATAGTCTGCTTCTCTCGACAATTCAAAGGAGGGCATTCGTTATTATAATAACACAGATGGAGTTAATCTGATGTAGCCTTGTAGCCTACACATTCTCCATATCACTGTGCTCTGCAGCACACTGGGCAGTGGCACACTGGGTGCCAGAGCACACTTTATGAGCTGCAACCTCCCACTGGTATGAATGTGTTTAAAGTAAACACATACCTACAGTTACCATATTTGGGTTGATCACCCTTTATAGACAAACCTAGTTATTCTTGCTTAGAAGAAAAATTATGCACATAAGAGTAAAATAGTTGTAGTTACACGTCTGAGTTCAAATGTCTGTGCCCTCATCAGACAGCAGAGGGCATACATCACTACACTGGGCCCTCTGGCTGACACCACAGAGGACTTCTGGAGGATGCTCTGGGAACACAACTCCACCATTGTGGTCATGCTCACCAGACTGAGCGAGACAGGACAGGTGAGCACACAGCCCAGACAGAGAGAGAGGGAACGGGTGAGCACACAGAGTGAGTCAGAGGGGACAGTGAGCACACAGAGTGAGTCAGAGTAGTGCTGTCATGATTCGCAAATTTCAAAATCAATTTTTACTTACTAAGGAATAAACTCGATACTCAATACCAATTCTGATGCCACAAAGATAAGAGATACATTCTTTCTCTTTCTCATTAAATGGTAATATTTTCTTTTCCATTTCTATTTTCTATTCAGATATAAGGCCATGTGGCCTTGTGGCCTTATATCTGTGTAATCCCTCAGTGGTCCAGGTAGGTTCCATAGTGGTCCATGGGCATGTACTAGTCTATGTGCTCTTATACTTATTCTGATATAGCTCAAGATCTTTCTAAAGCTTTTGGGAAAGGTCCATTTCTGTCATGTGAATGGGACTTCTTTAGTTTCAATACCAGTCATTTCAGTACAAGTTAAGTATTCTTTAAGTCGTTTTCACACCGCTAGTTCGATTATTTGGTCCGCACCAGGCAATAAAATTGTTATTATGTAGCAAATACACTCCAGTGTGGTCCGCGTTCACACCGGCAAACGAACCAAAACTGGTTCGATTGACGTGTCTCTGTTTCCCCGGTAAAAACAGCGATACCTCCAGTTATCAACACCGATGTTCCTGTTAATACCACGGGCCGTCCTCATCTCAAATTATCACCATGAACTCATAAAACAGCAACTTGTAGAATTTTGTACAAACTCACCGCATCAGCCCAGAGTTCGGGTAACAGCAGCAGCCAACAGTGCTCACAGTAGCGCGCAGCTCCTCAGGACGGGGCTGGGGTCTGGTCCTTGGTCTTCTGTTACAAGCGCGTTGGTCAGATGGTCTGGAGGCTCTGTCCTCCATGTGCTGGTTCCAAACGGTGGCGAGCAAGACCAGTGCTTGATGGACTGAGTCCGAGCGGGTACGTTCCGTCGTCTGCGCGCTGTTTCCGTGCGGGAAAAGCAAGAATGTTCTGTGGACTACAGGTCCGGGCGCGCTGCTCCTGTCCTCCGCGCTCAAGAACCGCGGCTGGTTCCAAGGTGGTGCAGCATCCGGACAGAAGCGTGAGTCCAGTTTGGTTTGTCATATGCTGTTCTGAGCGTCCGTCCTCCGCGCATTTGGTTCTTTCCGGGGAAAGCGCTTCCTCAGGTCGAGGCTCCCCGCTCCAGCTCCTCTGAGCCCGGACTGAACCGGAGCTGCCCCCGCTGGTTCGGGACTCTGGTTTGGACCTAGTCCGACTGTATTTGGGCTTTGTACAAACTCACCGCATCAGCCCAGAGTTCAGGTAACAGCATTGCAGCCAAAAATCAGTCGCGGCTCAGGACGGGGCTGGGGTCTGGTCCTTGGTCTTCTGTTACAAGCTCGTTGGTCAGATGGTCCGTGAGGCAAATTCATCCTCCATTGTGCTGGTTCCAAACAGTGGCGAGCAAGACCAGTGCGCAATGACTGGGTCCGAGCGGGTACGTTCCGTCGTCTGCGCGCTGTTTCCGTGCGGGAAAAGCAAGAATGCGCTGTGGACTACAGGTCCGGCGCGCTGCTCTGGTTCTCCGCGCTCAAGAACCGCGGCTGGTTCCGAGGTGGTACAGCATCCGGACAGAAGCGTGAGTCCAGTTTGGTTTGTTATATGTTGTTCTGAGCGTCCGTCCTTGGCGCATTTGGTTCTTCCCGGGGAAAGCGCTTCCTCAGGTCGAGGCTCCCCGCTCCAGCTCCTCTGAGCCCGGACTGAACCGGAGCTGCCCCCGCTGGTTCGGGACTCTGGTTTGGATCTAGTCCGACTGTATTTCTCACACTAGGCTAAAAACAGGGACTTTTTCAAGTTGTATCAATTGAATGGGCGATTGCCTACTGCCGTAAAATTATTTGGTTAATTAAATCCTAAAATAACAAATGTTGGTTGCTGTGTGATCACGGGGGAACACCGGGTCGTCTCTGTGCGTGTAGGTCCCGAACAGGGGTACGCACCCCCAATTTTGACTCACTCTGGAGCCACACGTTCGCACACTGATACTTGCTCTGATCTTCGTGTATTACGTTCTCTGTATTGGCCATTGTTGGTAAAATAATTTTGAAAATGAATCGCGTCTGCGTCTGGACACCAATCTGTTACTGCGCTGGAGTCGTACAGCGCGTCATTTCAGGCAGAGGAGACGCGTGTCCCTCCCATGGTGCATTTCGAATAGTCCGTTTGTCCATACTGTCTATGGTTTGGACCCGGGTTCGCGTTCACACCAGAGGAACCGCACCAAAGTTGGTCATTTGGTGCGGATTCAAGCGAACCGAGACCACCTCTTTTTTGCGGTCTCGGTCCGCTTGATTTGGTTCGGGTCCGAGTCCGATTGACGCTTTCACACCAACGCAAACGAACCACTTCTGGTTCGAATGGACCGTTTGGTCTCGGTTCGCTTGAATCCGCACCAAATGACCAACTTTGGTGCGGTTCCTCTGGTGTGAACGCGAACCCGGGTCCAAACCGTAGACAGTATGGACAAACGGACTATTCGAAATGCATCATGGGAGAGACACGCGTCTCCTCTGCCTGAAATGACGCGCTGTACGACTCCAGCGCAGTAACAGATTGTTGTCCAGACGCAGACGCGATTCATTTTCGAATTATTTTAACAACAGTGGCCAATACAGAGAATGTAACACACGAAGATCAGAGCAAGTACGTGCGAACGTGTGGCTCCAGAGTGAGTCAAAATTGGGGGTGCGCATATTGCCTGGTGCGGACCAAATAATCGAACTAGCGGTGTGAAAACGACCTTAGTATCTGATTTTCAATACTAGCTTTGAGCCTGGTTTTCAATACTTGCTTTTTCAAAGTTGGGATCAAATGAAAAGTGGAAAATAAAACCGTTTCATTGTAATTTGTCTTGTGAAGAAGAAAAAAAAAAGACAAATCAAAGAATCAAACACAGATACATTTATCACTGCAAAGGACTTCAATTATGTCGCTGCATTTTATATTTCTCACAGAATTCACCCTTACATCCTACATTACACAAAATGGATTCTTGTGAGCTTTTAGCAATGTTGTATGCTATAGTCTCCTCAAAAAACATACCCAAATTGTGTTTTGTTTTATTCACAAATGTTTGAGTAATCCTTTAACATTATTTCGTCTAGATGTGTGAAGAATCCCTCAGTCGTCCAGGTAGAATCCATGGTGAGGAGAAAATTCAGTTTGTTAGTTCCCAAACTAACTTTTGTCCAGTCGACAAACTGAATTTTCTCCTCGCCATTATTTCGTCTACATCTCCAAAGCTCAAACAGCTCTGTTCCACCTGGTGATGTCATGTAGTGGTAATTTTCAAGGTAACATCTCCTTTTACCTTTAATTCAGTAGAGACTGACAGCTTCCACTCCCATAGCAATGAAGTGGTTGGCTGCTTTTGTGGCTATATGGCTCACGCACTTAACGTTTTTTAAAACTTTGTATTTGCTGTGCTTAGTCTTTAACATTATACCATGGGATTTAACCAACTAAGATGTACAGCAGCAGTTCAAAAGACACAAGTAAGGGACTGCTGGATTGTGTGAAATGAGCTGTTTGTTTTTCCTGGATATATGAGATCACCAACCAAAACACTAAAGTGGAGTAAGAACCTTTCCTGTTGTGTTCACCTGGCTCCCCCTTTAGGCTGCTATGATGCTACAGGACACAGAGGAGAAACACTTTTGGCTCTTTCTCTCCTCAAACTGCCCTGACACAGATCTGCTTCTTCTACCCGACAGTCCTCCTGTTAAACTGCACTGAGACCTTTGACTGAGTCACACAGGCGACTGAAAAGTTCTGGAAGTGCTCCTGTTTCACCACATGACATCACAAGGTGGAACAGAGTGTTTTCCATTTGTGAGAAGAACTCTGCATAAAATATGCATTGTTTGTGTTTTAAACATGTGTGAATGAAACAAAACAAAACTCCAGATGTTTGTGATGAGGAAACTACATTATGGCATAGATCAGAAAATAGTGTAGTGTAGTGTCTTTATATTGTGTGAAATTGTAAGAACGATACGATTAATGATCAGATCAATGTTTTTATTTGTAGGAGAAGTGTCACCAGTATTGGCCCACCAAAACATCTGCCTGCTCCCACTACTTTGTGTTGGAGCCGATAGCTGAGTACAACATGCCTCAGTACATCCTGCGGGAGTTCAAGGTCATGGACTTCCGGGTACGTTCTACACACTTGCACTTCTAGTGTATTATCTACCGTATGTATTATTACAAGGCATGGCAAGGTTGCCATCACACCCAATTTACACGAGATGAAATTGTGACACATAATACATTGTGGGGTTCAATTCACAATTTCAGCTTCAGAATTGTTGATTGTGGTTAATTTATTTTCTTTGATATATCTGACATACAGTAGTTGCACTACTCTTTGGAACTATGACTTCTCAAAAAACTTAAAAAACTCACCAGCTCTTAAAAGTCCTATATTACGCAAAATTGACTTTTGTGAGCTTTAAGTTACATTAGAATGTTGTTATCAACAACCTTATCAAAAACACACCTATATACCTTGTACCTTGTACCATATCTTGTATTTTGTTTCAGTCACACATGTTTGAGTAACCCTTTATTATTAGTCAATCTACATTTCCAAAGCTGAAAATGCTCTGTTCCACCTTGTGATGTCATAAAGCAGTAGTTTTCAAGTTGGGGAGTTATGAGGATGGACAGGAGATTGTTTAGGGCCCTCTTCTCAGGTACAGATGTGAGTGAGTCAAGCTCTGCTCCAACACAGGATCCTGCCTTCCTCACCATCTTTTCCAACCGCACAGCATCCTCCTTTTTGAGGCTTTCCCCCCTGTTGGAAGTCCTATGACCTATGACTGAGACTGAGTTTTCTGACACTAGGCAACAGATTTCATTCCAAAATACCTTTGTTGTTTTGAGATTCCGTTGTATTTTGCACAGATTCAAGACACTCTGTGTCAGATGAAGCAAAACAGCCCCAGAACAAAACCATGCCACCTCCATGTTTCACAGTAGGGACAGTGTTCTTTTCTTGTTGTGCTTCATTTTTGTGTCTGTGAACATAGAGCTGATGTGTCTTGCCAAAGAGCTCCAGTTTTAAGCAAAATATGTTCATTTTGTCTTCTTATATACTTTAACTTCTTGGGTTCTTTTTTAAGACAATGCAGTAAAGTGTGTTTACCTTGTTGACATGTTTCGGCTGCTAGCAGCAAGCCATCTTCAGAACTGTCACCGGTGTTGGTGGTGACGTGTCGTATATCAGCTGTTGTTACTTCCTGTAGGCGTGGTCAGCCTGATGGACACGGCAGACTCAGACTGACCACGCCTCCCGTCGCCCGGTGTTCTCTGGAGGAGGGTGTCCCAGGTGTGTGAAAGGAGGAACGCACCGTCATCACGGTTAATGCTGTCCGTGCCTCGGTTCCTGATTTCAATGGCCTCCTTGATCCAGCGTTTGAACTTGTTGTTTTCCGATCCAATGACCCGAGCCCCGTCCCAATCCATAATGTGGTTGTTCCTTTTACAGTGGTCTGATATGGCGGATTTTAGGTTTTCCTGTTCTGCTTTGTCTTTTTGTGTTCTGGTGAGTCTCCCTGACGTTTCCTTCTCGCATTCCTTTTGGTGTTCCTTTTTTCGGATGTGAAATGCCCGGCCTGTTTCCCCTATGTATGATTTATTGCATGATTTGCATTGAATTTCGTAGATGGCATTGCATTTTTGTTCTTGTGGGATTTTGTCCTTGGGGTGTACGAGCTGTTGACGGAGTTTTGTGTATGGTTTTACTTACGAAATTGGTTGAAGGATTCAGTCTATACCATGTCTTTAAGTGATGCTGTGGTCATATTTGCCCTTTAATAATCCTGATGTCCAAAAGAATTCTATAAAAAACATCCAGATTTTTAAATTTATATTCCATTATATATTTTGATATTATTTTGTTAAACAACACTAAGTGGAAGTTTTTACAAGATAACTTTAAACATGTTAATCTTGCATTTATTCAGTTACAACTTTTTTAATAATGCTCAAAAATATTAGAAAAACATGCATTCTTACTGTTACTGTCATCTCTCCTCAGATCTGACCAGTAACTTCACTTGCTGGTATCATCTGCTTGTCTCCATGAAGCTAGGTTGCTTTAATGCCATACTGTGGAAGATTCCAGGCCAATCACTAACATGTCCATGGAGACAAGAACTTGGCAGACCCTCTAGCACCTTTAAATGCTGATCATTGTGATATAGTTTCCTCATCACAAACAGAACTGTAGTTGTGTCTGGTCTTATTCACACACGAATCCTGCACAGTTATATGTTTATATATTTCCTTCTCTCAAACAGAAACCACTCACTGTTCCACCTTATGAGGTGTGGTAATACATGAAGTGCTAAACTGTGTTTTTAAACTCATACACCTTCACTGGAACCATTTAGATAATTTCAGCTCTGGAGCTGGAAACAGCCCAATAAAGCATGTGTGACTGAGACAAAACATAACTTCAGGTACGTTTTTGAGGAGGTAACAGCTTTCTAAAATACTTAAAGCTCACAACAGTCAATTTTGTGTGATATAGGGCCTTTAACTATTGTGCTATGTTTATTTTTGCTTCCATTTTGTTGATTCATCCCTTTATTTTCAGAATGGTGAGTCAAGAACCATCAGGCAGTTCCACTTCACAGACTGGCCAGAACAAGGAGTCCCCAAAACAGCCGAACACTTCATTGATTTCATTGGGCAAGTTCACAAGACGAAGGAGCAGTTTGGCCAAGACGGACCTATCACTGTACATTGCAGGTGACTGTAAAATATAAAGAGTATACAGAGTTTTCATGTTTCCAGTGTGCAAATGAAGGCAACAAAGGTATGTAGGAACTGATAACATAATAACGACCAATAAAATAATAATGTGGTAAATTTTAAATGTAATAAGCCCCTAATGTAATAACTGCAATAACGTAATAGTTGTAATAACTTGAGTGAACCAATAGTAGATTACATTATTGGATGGTTATTATATTAATTAGATTAGAAATACTTTATTATCCGAAAGGATATTTCAGGCAGCACAATACATATATACATAATAATAAAATAATAATAACATAATAACAAGCACACCAATTCAATTATAGTGAGCGTTATACAGTTGAATGGCATGTGGAACAAGCAACTTCCAGAGTCTGTCTGTGGAGCAAGGAATGGACAACAGCCTGTCCCCAAAGGTGCTCTCCTGTCCAGTGATGGTGCTGTGCAGGGGGTGCTGGGGGATATCCAGGATGGACATGAGCTTGTTAAGGGCCCTCTTCTCACTCACAGATGTGTCTGCCTTCCTCACCAACTTATCCAACCACTCGGGGTCATTTGTGTTGAGGCTTCCTCCCTAGACTAAACTGCACAGCATTGAAGAGGACACTGGAGATGACTGTCTGGGAGAACATCAGCAGGAACTTCTGACAAATGTTAAAGGATTTTAGCCTTCTGAGAAAGAACAGCCTGCTCTGTCCCTTTCTGTAGAGCAGGTCTGTATTCTCAGATCAGTCCAGTCTGTGCTCGAGATGTAAGCCCAAATACCTATAACTCTTTACAACTTCCACAGTGTCCCCCTCAATGGTCACAGGTTGCAGCTGTGGCCTGCTACTCCTAAGGTTCACCACCATCTCTTTGGTCTTAGTGTTTCAGTTGAAGGTGGTTAGCCATGCACTAAACCACAAAGTTCTCAATGATCTGCCAGTACTCCCCCTCGTCACTGTTCCTGATACACCCCACAATGGCTGTGTCATCAGAGTATTTGTGCTTGTGACCCAGCTTGCAGTTGTATCTTAAGTCTGATGTGTATAGGGTAAACAGAAATGATGACTGTACCCTGTGGAGCAGTACCAGTATGTATGTATATATATATATATATATATATATATATATATATATATATATATATATATATATATATATATATATATATATATATATATATATATATATATATATATATATATATATATATATATATATATATATATATATATATATATATATATATATATATATATATATATATATAGCCTTTCGACTCAGCTCCTTCTTCACTACAATGGTCCAAAACAGTGACCGCATCACTGCAGATGCTACACCAATCCGTGTGATCCAATCTCATGCTCCATCTTCCACCCTCACTCGTTTACAAAACCCTGAGATACTTTAATTCTTGCACTTGAGGCAGGAACTCTCCACCCACCCGGAGAGGGCAAGACCCCTTTTCTGGTCGAGAACCATGGCCTTGGAGGAGGTGATCTTCATCCCCGCCACTTCACACTTGGCTGCAAACTGTCCCAATGCATGGTGCAGGTCCTGTCCTGATGAAGCCAAAAAGACAACATCATCTGCGAACAGCAGAGATGAGACCTCTTGATCAAAAGCATGGAAATATTCTACGCATGAGTACAAATAAATCTGTAGACCCTATGCATAATTTGGCATGCAGGTCTTAACAGCTGACTTTTCCCATGTGGAGTGCATGGAATTCTTGTATTGGTTTAGTTATTTAAATTTTAGTGTGTCATTTGTGAACTGAACTTAATCATCATAAAAAACTTAATCTTAAAATAAACATGAATCAGAATGATAGCAATTAGTGAAGCTATTCTCCCCAATGATGTGTGTTGTGTGCACAGTACTGGGGTTGGACGCACCGGTGTATTCGTGGCTCTGAGCATAGTCCTGGAGCGACTGAGGTACGAGGCCATAGTGGACATGTTCCAGACCGTTAAGCTACTTCGTACCCAGAGGCCAGCCATGGTGCAGACTGAGGTGAGGGCACAACAACACTATTTACCAATGTAAAGTCATGCTCTGTAAGTCTGTGTTATCACTCTGTTGTCCAGGTATGATCCCCCCCAAAATTCTAATCTGTCACCGCTCATCCAAGCGACTTCTTCAGTTCTGGTCAGATTGCTGCTGGGTGTTGCCGTAATTAATCATATGGGTAATTGCGGAACATTCGCACATCTGGTTACAACTCATTTACATATCAGTGCAGGTCCAGTAATGTGGACAGCAACTATAGTCACTTTACACTAGGTCAGGGGTTGGCAACCCGCGGCTTCAGAGGCGCATGCGGCTCTTTAGCACTTCCCTAGTGGCTCCTTGGAGTTTTTTCAAAAATGAGTGAAAATGGAAAAGGAATGATTTTTGTTGTTGTTGTTTTAATATGGTTTCTTCAGGGGTAAAACCCTCATTCATCTCTGGTCATGGATCTGATCCATGAGCTGTGTGCAAATGAAACACATGAAAACTGTTTCAGCAGAACAAATAGATGAGCTGAAGCGGGGGTGGTGTCTGGTACCTCCACCTGAGAAGCGCTTTCCCCGAAAGGAAAAAAAGAAAAAAAAAAACAAAAAAAACACGTGCGCAGACGGACGCTCAGAACAACATATAACGAACCAAACGGGATTCGCGCTTTTGTCTGGATGCTGCACCACCTCAGAACCAGCCGCGGTCGAGCACAGAGGACTGGAGCAGCCCGCCCTATCAATCGATCTGTTGCATTCAGCATCATGGACAGCGAGAGATTGATATGTAGGTAGAGAGCAGCGGGATCTGTCTGCAGACCACAGGCTGTAAAGTGTAAAGTGAGCGTGATCGTGTCAGCTTTTTCCTGTCTACAGTAAAATCACTCACCACTGCACTTCTAGAGCTCAGAGCATTGCATTTCTAGTTTAGATAATTTTTAGAAGACAAAACTGAGTTATTATTATTTGTGAAATGTGGTGCAATAATTCATATACATGGTTTTTAAAGCATAAAAGATTGGAGATAAAGTCCACAGGAAGTAGAGTCTCTATCACTAATCTGTAGCTTCACATGCGCTGGACGTAAAGAAACACACGTGTGACTCTTGCCTTTTTACTTTCAAAGAAGAGCATTGAGCTGGTGCAGTGAGTTGATCGGTTATTTATTTGGGCTGTATGGTGTTCTCCGCAGATCGCCTATGTGACGCTGAATCTTTTCAACTATACCGCTCTACACGTCAAGGATGTCCAGCCTCTCCCCTTATTTTTATTCTTGCTTTAGAGCCACTGGCGTGTGCAATACGGACACACAAAACTATTTTGGGTATTAATACTGCAGATTATGAATTCAAATTAAATTTATTTGCGGATGATATTTTATTAACTATAACAAATCCGCAAAGATCTATTCCACAGTTGCTTAAATTAGTTGATGATTTTGGAAAAAATTCTGGATACAAAGTTAACTATGCAAAAAGTGAGGCTATCCCTCTTAACCATTATACCTTCCAGTCTCATCTCGATACTGCCCCCTACCAGTGGAAACCTAAAAGTATGAAATATCTTGGTGTTCAAATCAGATCTCCTGTTGAGACTATGGTCGAATTGAATATGGCCGACCTCATGAAGACTCTTAAGGAAAATGTACAAAGATGGACAGTTCTGCCCCTCTCACTGTGGGGCAGAGCTGAAACAATTAAAATGAATTTTCTTCCTAGACTAGCTTTCATTATCTCATCTATTCCTCTAAAATTCCCCCCAAAATGGTTTAAAGAAATTAACAAATTGATGACTGACTTTTTATGGAAAGGCAAAAAGCCACGAATTGGCCATAAAAAATTAATTCAACCCCCTGACAAGGGTGGAGTGGGATTGCCAGATATTCATTTATATTATATAGCATACAATTCTAGGTATCCCTAAACTGGGCCTATTGTAGTACTCGAGAAACTGGAAGCTGGAAATGGCTTGAGGACTTACTTTACTTACTTACTTTAAACTTTACTGGGAAATCCTTACCTTCTTGTCCCCTTTGGTCTAATTCCCCTGTTTATGGCAGGTAAAAGAACTCTAAATAACAAAACTTGGCAATTAAGTAATATTAATAATGTATCACAGGTGATTAAGAATGGAAATAATTTTATATCATTCAATGAATTAAAAACTAGGAGTGGTTTGAAAGAATCTGAATTCTTAACTTACATGGAAATTAAATCTGTCTTAAAATCTTCATTGTCACAGGATAAGAGCATGGGGGACAAGAAGGAGTTGGAGGAAAAATTAAAACGTGCTGTTGCACGACAATGCACAGTTTCAAGAATCTATAAACTTTTACGTCACACTAAAGGGGATGTCAATAATTCAACAAAAAATCTATGGGTACGTGATCTGGGAATGCCTATAACTGCCTCACAATGGGAAACAGCACTGCAAAACTCCACAAAAATTTCTAACAAAAAGGTTATCATTGTTTTCTGGTGGTTCTCAAAGATATTTATTGATGAGGCTGGATAGCAAAGGAAAGACAGCAATGCACTGGTAAATATTTTGGTGATCTTTATAGCACTATATAGCCTAAAATACTGCTCCTTTGAAATTGGAATGCAATCTCCATTGATGAATAATTGCTGACAAAGTTAGTTTCATCTATTAGTTGTGTCAGCTCGGCCCTTTTTACAACCACTCCAAGTCCCTGAGAGCCCTAACCCTGTAAAAGTTTATACAGCATATTGACCATTTTGGGACTTGCTTAAGGTAATGAAGCCAGCTTGGCCTGGACAGAGAGGCTCCTGCCGTGTCAACACTGCTCCCTATTTGATGACACCTTCCACTAAATTGAAATGTGCTGCTAATGGGTCAGTGTGTTTAAAGAAGAGTATAAGTCAGTCATTGACACAAGACTGACCCCACGAAAAGGCCACAAAAATGCAAGAAGAAAGCAACAAATCAATATTATTTAGGCACTTCTAAAATGTACTGCTGCAACTATAATTTCCCCTCCTCTCTCCTAATTGCCAATCAGCACATACACACACACACACACACCAGATATAAAAAATACACTATGACGCTCAGAAAAAGTACACATTGACATATATGCATATAGTCAAAATTAGTTACATTTGGTTTAAACAAATTAGCATGGTATTCAGGAAACTTAATAAACTAATTTACTCTCAAAACAATCTTTAAAATCTTATTGAGCAGGTTACACAAACAACACTGAACAGCGGCAGAACCATGTGTATAAAAATAAAGATAAAATTCACAACTCTTATTGGCTTGTTTTTAATATAAATAGTATGTGATAAATTAGTGGCTTCTTCTAATGATTCCAGTGCCACTGTCTTGAATTCCCACAGGTAGCCTTCTTACAATGGATGGTCAGTGTTTGCGAAGCCATAGCTGTCTCTAGTTTACTTGTGAATCTGGGGTTAAGTGACATTTTAAGGCCCACTGAAAACGTCTGGGTCTGAATCCTTTTGTGCGAAGACGTTTTCACCTAGGGAGTAATGAAACCGTTTTAAGCATTGTAATGATCAATAGGT